GCAGATGATACAGTTGTTTATTCTTGTGTGTCTTGGGCTTTCTAGCACCTACAAAAATTGTTTATCTTGATTCAGGCCGATTTTAAAAACCTTAAGCTGGTCTCAAATGTGAGTAAAACAAAATTCATGCATTTCTCCAGATCACACTCCTGGCATCCTGCTCCTAACATCTCCACATCTGAGGGAAAGTGCATAGAACAAGTGGGTTCCTATACATATCTTGGTGATTCCAGACTAGCTTTTTCCACTCGTTTGGATAGACTCATCAAAAAACTCAGGTTTAAGCTGGGATTTTATTTTAGAAATGAGCAATGTTTTAGCCTCGCTACCAAAAGGAGACTTGTCATGACCACCTTTCTCCTTGTGATCGATTATGGTGATGTTCTTTATGTGCATGCCCCTGCTGCATCCCTTAAGGCATTAGACACTGCCTATCATGGTGCCTTGCGTTTCATTCAAATCTCTCACCCATCACTGTCTTCTATATGAAGGGTCTGGTCTGACATCACTTTATTACCGCAGATGGCTCCACTGGCATGTTTTTATCTACAAAGCCCTCGTAGGGCTTCTCCCTGGCTATCTAAACCGCCTCCTTATTCACTTTACTAGCGGGTACAGCCTCCGCTCCCATGACTTTTTATTGTTCTCAGTCCCTCGTGCTTTCACTGCGATTGGAAAGACTGCGTTTTGTCACAATGGTCCTTGAATCTGCTCCAGAAAACGCTCACACTGTCTGATCTTGTTTCCTTGGGAGATTTTGAATGTTTGCTACAAACTGTAAAAACAGAAGTCTGCAGCTGCTTTAAATGAGTTTTTAAGTATTTCGTGTATTTGTGCCTTATAGTGATGAGATATTATTTATTTTATTTTTTGTGTTGTATTATTGCAACCCTTGTTACTCACCTGGTTAAATAAAGGTTAAATAAAAATAAACTGATTCATAAATAAATTAATTAATTAATTAATTTTAAAGTAGGGACAACTAGTGATACCTGTCAGAAAAAGACATAATGGCTCCAATTTTACATAAATTTGTATGTTTAAAAAAAGGGAATAATAGGTATAATAACACCCCAAAAATGTTGAATGCTAATAAATATATTAATATTTTATATTGTAGGCCATTTTTATTTATTTTACATGTCTAAATATATATATTATTACACATTAAAAGCCCTCCAGAAATTCATGTTTATTTTAATTATGGGACATTTTTATGAGATGGTAATTTTCCAGTAATTAAGAGAGGGTTTTATTTTTGCGTTTATGTATTTTGACACCCGCCTGCTGGAAGCTTGCTGTTATTTAATTTTTTTTTTTTTACATTTTTAAAAATTTATTTATTTTCATCCATTCACATTTCTGATGTATTCGAGTTGTTAAACGTCTCACATACTTTTGTTTCTAATGGGTCGACCCAACTCAGCACATGCTCCGTCCCACAATGACCCAGCACTGAGGTTAAAGTTGTTTTTTTGTTTTTTTTGAGTGTACATGTACCATCAAACACACACTCTGAGTCCTCTTTTCCTCCTCCTCCCATTCCCTCCTGAGTCCCCAGCTGAATGTTTAGTTATTTATCTTCACTTTCCCCACATATAAGCCATCGTCCCCCTGAGAGGGAAACCTAAGCTGCACATCAGATAGCGAAGCATCACAACAAAAGTACACATTGTCCCACGTCGGCGACCGCGGGCCACGTTTCATAAGCCGGCTGACCGTTCACCTGAGAAAAACTCATATCCCCACATGCTGCCAGTTAAAGCCGGTGAAGCAGGGAAGGCTAAGCCGGCTGCGCTTAACCAAACACTGATTTTTGTCTGAGAGCGTTCTGATATTGGCTCTCTGTGACAGCACGGCGAGCTTAAAGGGCTCCGGATGGATCTGTAACTCGGGTCAGGACCCCCTCCAGCCCCTTCTCGCTTCTTGTTCGGGCCTAATTGGCTGCCATCTGACCCAGCTTTTTATTCTGCACTCTTCCCAAGATGCCATTTATCAGTGGGAGCCAATAGATTCAAATCAGTCAATCCTGGAGAGGGTTTTTCAGTGTATTACCTGCAAGCGTCCACCCACAATGAGCCCCTAATGCCAGCAGAACGGTCCACTATGATAGCTTTTCTACTTATTTCTCTATTTATGTCATTTTCTCCTTGCTGCAATTCTTGGATGGCAGTAACTAAGCAACCAGCCAGAGAATAAGAGCATTGCATGGGGATAAAGATTCAATAAATGGACAGAGTGCAGAGATAAGAAGCATTGTCTGCTGCTACAAGACCCTTCCCAAAGTTGATTCCTTCGGGGCAATCTTAGCTTTTATTCCCATTTTCTGACTCATTTTCTTTTCATTTTTTCGTCTTGTTTTAGAGGCTCCATCGTTCAGCGCGATAGGAAGGAGGTTTACTGTGGCAGCGACTTATCAGATTCATACATTTAGTGAGCAGCAGAGGCTGTTTCCAGGGAATTCATTACACGGCAATCGCTTGTGGCAAAGTCAGTCCCCTTAAAAAATCCAGAAATGGCTGCTGATCACAATCACGTTCTCACTTTCCATGACTATATATATCCTATTAGACATACTTTCTCCTCGCTGTGGATCCTTCTGTCACATGTAAACTCTTTCATTTTGAGACACGTTTACAGGATTGTTACATGCAGTACTCTGTTCAGGCCAGTAGAGGGCAGAGTGACATGCAAATGACTTCATACATGACTGTAATAAAGTACACTTTGGAGGTACTTTACTTGACTATTTCCATTTTAATCTAATGAAAATTGCATGTATTTTGGTGGCTTTTTAAAGTTTCATTATTATATTTACACATGTAAAACCAATGCAATTCGACATTTTCACCCCCCAAAATTAAAATTTCTGTTTTTAATCAATGTATTTTTAACCATCGTTTGTATAATATATCATTAATAAAAATAATTATTAAGAAATTGTTATTTTTAGTATTAGTATGAGTAGTAGTAGTAGTAGTAGTAGTCATTTCATTGTTTTTATATGATCTCACGTAAACTGAAGGCTAGAACATGTGTTTTAATCATGCAAATCATGTTTGGAACCCTGCAGTATGACAGTTTTTGAGTCCAACAGAGAAACGTTTCCTTTTTAAACTTCTCACATGAATTCATTTCAATTAAAGTTCAAATGATTTAATATTTGAGATTAGAAAAGAAATCAACAAACGGAAACAGTAGCTCCACCTGCAGCAGCTCCACCAGTAATACTCTGATGCTTCACTATTAGTAACATCCATCCATTATCTATACACCGCTTAATCCTCACTAGGGTCATGAGAGGGGCTGGAGCCTATCCCAACATGTTTTTGGACTGTGTGGGAGGAAGCCAGAGAACCCAGAGAGAACCCACGCTGCACGGGGAGAACATGCAAACTCCACGCTGAAAGATCCCGGTGTCCTCACCGGGATGCGAACTGGCGACCTTCTTGCTGTGAGGCAACAGTGCTAACCACCGCTCCACCTTGCAGCCCCTATTAGTAATATAATGATGTCAGATGTAATAATAAATCAGTCAGAGGGACCAAACCAGGACTTTTACTACAATACTGTTACTACTTTTGCTGCTATGCACTTTTATGCAGGACTTTTACTTGTAATAGAGTATTTTTACTTTGCTGTATTGTCACTTTTGTATAAGCAGATGATCTTAATACTTTTTACATTACAGCATTTAATTCCAGTGACACAGTAAGTTAAGTTTAAAGTGTCCGTCTGCCACAGTCTGTTCTGTCTGCAAACTGACTCTAGAACCAGTTTAAGGCTCACACATGATGAAAACTGCATTAGTGTTGATCGGCACTATTTTTATCCAGGCAGCTCACAGTGGAGAAGGAGGAGACGTTCACACCTGGAAGAGGTGATGATCTGAACTATAAATGGTCTAGTGAGGAATCATTTATTCAGTCATTTAGTATAAATAGATCCTCTCTCATGTCAGTCAAAAACAGCACTTAAAGGTCACATGTTAATCCCCTTTTTAGCAAAATAATCAACACAGTGAGTTTTTCAGTGTTTCTAGTCCGTCATAGATGCCTCATTCCACCAGAACTGTCTAACTCGTTGTTTTAGGGATCTTCTAAACAAGTCGCTTTGCTCTGAATACCAAAGAGCTGCTGCTGTTCCCGCCTCCTTCGGAAAATTATGATTAAATTGTAAATAAATTATGATACATTCCAGTCCAAGAAAGAAAGAAAAGAGGTTTGATGGTCATTCACAGTTAGATGGGTGAAGTCACTGGGACACTAGGTGGGTAGATTCACAATTTTTTTTTTTAGGATATTTTCACATATTCCATCCATCCGTTATCTATACACCTCTTAATCCTCACTAGGGTCATGGGGGGCTGGAGTCTATCTCAGCTGACTCAGGGTGAAGGCAGGGGACACCCTGGACAGGTCACCAGTCTATCACAGGGCTACACTTAGAGACAGACAACCAGGCACACTCACATTCACACCTACGGACAATTTAGAATCACCAATTAACCTCAACATGATTTTGGACCTTGTGGGAGGAAGCTGGAGAACCCAAAGAGAACCCACGCTGCATGCGGATCCCGGGTGTCCTCACCGGGACTCGAACCGCCGACCGTCGAGCTGGGACAATGCTAACCACCGAACTTCTTCTTCTTCTTCTTCTTCTTCTTCTGTAATTCTACAACACTTGTAAATTCACTGTATATTTTCGTAATTTTATCGATATTTTTTTCTGTATTTTAAAAATGTGAAGGGGAAATATCTAAAATAAAATTAAAAAAAACTAAATCTACTTTATTTATTTTTTTTGTCGTGCTTTATTTTAGTTTCTACAGTGGCGTCAATTTGCGCACGTGTTCTTGAACTACACATTCACGCGCAGGTTGTTGAGCCTCCTGCTGAGCAAAGTTGTGTCATTATCGTCCTGGTTGTGTTTTCTTTTTTTTTTTTTCTTCCACACCAGCCTGAGCATGCAGCCGCTCTGACTGGATGCAGACTCAAGTGTCTCTGACCAGCAGCAGGAATGAGGAAAAGAGGCGTTCAGTAGCGACGCGAACAAACCCAACAGCGAACACAAACGAGGCTCCTCCGCTCCTGAGCAGTCATGAAGGCTCTCACAGAAACCGTCCTGCTGCTTCTTTTATTCTCAAACGCCTGCGGTAAGATGCTTTTCTTTCATTTATTTACTTTTTAAAAACTTTCACCTGTTGATTCGAGCAGGAGTCCGACTTTTCCAGCACCTCTGGAGGCGCCTCATTCTCTTCTTAACATCTGCAGCTTTATTCTACACTTCTGTCATTGAACAAAAACAATGTTTTTAGGAATAGTTCACATCTGGATGAACTGAATGAAGCGACTCTGCGCAGTTTTCCTTTTAAGGGAGTAAAAAGAGTCTGGATGTAGTTTCCCACAGAGAGCCCACAGACTCCCACTGTACTATGTACTTTGACTTAAACACATCCAGTACATCTCACTTTTCATCAGTTAACTCCACAGTCGGGCTCCACGGATCAGCTCTGGATAGTCTCATCCATCACTTTTAAAAAAGCAGCTAATTAATCAATAAACTTAGTTAAGTTGTGGCCTGCTCCACTTCATTTGGGTGCTGAAGTGATAAAAGTTCATTGTGCACTTTAACTCTGATCATTTCTTCATATATTTTCCATCAGATTGCTGGTTTAACTCAGATTTTAGGGCAAATGAAACAAAAAAAAGCAGTTATTATGACAGATATTGTAATATGAGTCAAAGTTTTAGCGGGTTTCTTGTATTGCTTTACCACAGATATGTATAAATGATTATCAGATATTTTCAGCATTCAATAGCAAACAATACATACTCTTGTTTGCCGGTGCATCTTCTTATTCATTCATTTGGTATGTTGTTGCACATTTTACCCTGATCACGAAAAAAAAAAGTTTGAAAAAAAAAGGCAGCTCCTGTTTTTTTTTATGTTGCAAGTTTTAATTTTACTTTTTTTTTTTTTCAGCTGTATTAGATCAAATCAAATAAAGGGAAACGCTGTGTTTCAGTGTTACACTTCACTGGGCCACACCCATGAGCCTCACAAGATAACAACCAGAACTTACGTATGGAGTTATATGAAACATGACCACGCGATTTGCAACAGGAAAACCGAACTCTATCAAATGTCAACACACTCACACCGTTTGTGACAGATTGTGGTTTCTGCTTTTTCTGTTGCTAAGCAGAGCTGGCTGGCACTGTGATGCTGCTACACTGTCAAAATTTGTGTTTCTTGTGTTTTTTTCCCATCAATTAGCTATTATTTTACTCTGTGTTTTGATAAACTACAGCTTAAACAGGCCAACAATGTAAATAATGTCCACAATAGAAATCTGAACTTTTTATAAATGGTAATTTGTTCTTTTGCAACATTTGAGCATAAAATTTCATTATTTCTGACTGTACTTAAATCAGGAAAACATTACTTTATTTGACAGGTATTTGCCATTATTTGAAAGAGAATTTTGTCTATTACGATTCAAAAAATGTTAAATATTTTTATAGTGTCATGTTACACATTGGGCTGCAAGGTGGTTCAGTGGTTAGCACTGTTGCCTCGCAGCAAGAAGGTTGCCAATTCGCGTCCCGGTGAGGACACCCGGGATCTCTCTGCATGGAGTTTACATGTTCTCAGTGTACAGCATGGGTTCTCTCCGGGTTCTCCGGCTTCCTCCCACACAGTCCAAAAACATGTTGAGGTTAACTGGTGATTCTAAATTGTCCGTAGGTGTGAATGTGAGTGTGCTTGGTTGTCTGTCTCTAAGTGTAGCCCTGTGATAGACTGGTGACCTGTCCAGGGTGTCCCCTGCCTTCACCCTGAGTCAACTGGGATAGACTCCAGCCCCCCACGACCCTAGTGGTGTATAGATAACGGATGGATGGATGCTACACATTTCCCCTGTTTCATTAACACATATTACAGACAACAGCTAGTACAATCCCAGGAAAAAAAAAAAAAACTGTAAACAATGTCCATATCAAAAATCTCTAGAGTAAGTCAGAGTAATTTGTTTTTTTGTAATGTGTGACCATACAATTATGCCGATTTGCAGTATTTAAATGAGGTAAAATGTCATTTTTCTTCAGATAATTACTGTTATTTTTACTGATTTACTGATTACAGTTTATAATTTCACAGTCTTCCATAGTTTTTTTTAAAATATATATTTTGTTGGCACACTTGCTGCCCGATTTTTACAGATTCTTTCCAGAATATATGTATGTTTAGGGTTTTTTTTTTTTCTTACAGTGTAGGCATTATCTATATAGTCCTCTTTCCCTCAGCTGTAGGTGTAAAGAAACATGTTATGTGTTTTAACATCTGTCTCGGCATCATTTCTACAGATTCCAACATCTGCACGTCTCGAGGTGTCACCACTTGCCAGCAGTGTCTGGCTGTAGATCCCAGCTGTGCCTGGTGCTCTCAGGAGGTAAAAACGCCGTCTCTGCTCCGTGAAGCAAGTTAGAACACAAACCTCATTTCCCAACAGCGCTCGTCTTTGATGTTTGTTCACGGTGATGCTGCAGCATGCTCAGAAATCTTCTGTGTTGTTGAGTACAACGCAATGTTTTTTTGTTTCAGGAGTTTGGACGGGGAGGATCCAGCACCTCTCGCTGTGACCTGAAACAGAACCTGCTGGGAGAAGGGTGCCGTGAAGATGCGGTGGAGTTTCCCAGCAGCACCCTGACTGTTGAGACGGACGACCCGCTCAGCGACAAGGCCTCGGGTGCAGGGGGTACCGTCACTCAGGTCCGGCCTCAGAAACTCAGCATGACACTGAGACCAGGTGTGTTGAAACCCAATCACATCTCATCTCTAGAACAGACACGTGTGCTGCTAATCGTATGAGACATGCTCACTGTGGGCCCATTTTTCAATGCAATATAAAATCCTGCACCTCTATAGAAACAACACAAGCATAAAAAGTAAAAGTAGAGAGACCTCAAGTAAATTTTACGCAATTTGACACAATTATAAGTAATTTCCTGAAAAGAATCAATAAAGCATTTATCTGTAATGCCATAAATCATTAAAAAAAATGGGGGGAGAAAAGTCAAAATTCTTCAATTGTTTATGTTTTTAAAAAAAGGGAATGCCTGGAATAAACATGTACAGCATTTTTCCATATGCACAAAAGGTGTTACCAATACTGGTAAAACATGGTGGCTCTCCACACACTATGGGTTTTTAATTTGTTTCCGTTATTGTCTACTATCTGCTCTGTGTCAACACTCTCTCAGCCGAAAAGTCTCAGAATTTTTGTCATGTAACCGTTAGTCACAGTTTAGTAAGTCGTGGGTTTTCAGTTGCATTGAGGTGCAAAGAATTTTTTAGTTTTTTACAGAATCCGGTTCAAAGATGCGGACGTTTTTTAATTAAATTTTTTTTTTTTTGAGAATTATTGAATAAACATGGAGGACAAAGTGATTTTGAGTTTAGATTTGATTATTTTTATCTGATGGAAACATGTTATAATGCCACAAATTGTTTAAAAAAAAAGAAAGAAAGTTGAATTTCTTTAACTTCTTAAGACCTGGCGTCACATCACGGTTTGGGTTATATCACCACAGTAGTTAATTCTGCTTAACTGGGCCCTTATGGCCATGTGTGTGGACACTTACACGACCATCTATGATGATATTTAGTCTTTATACTTATCAGGTAAAACATGCATATAAAACAAGAGTTCGGGTCTAAAGAGGTTAAATATTCATTACACAAAAATGTACCAAACCTGGATTCAGCATCTACACTGTTGTTCCCAGTGTCTATAGTTGTTACCAATAGTGGAAAGAAATGTGACTCTACATAATATGAACATTTTACTTTTTTCATTTTTAGTGTTTTTCTGTACTTGTCTCCTCTCTGCTCTGTTTAAACTCTGCCTGCAGTTCAGCCGAAATGTCCCAGAATTCTTGTCATTTATCTGTTTGTCGCTGCCAAGTCATGACTGGCTTTACAGTTGCGTAAAAAATTTCTGAATTCTTTGTTTTTTAAAGACCGCAATTCGAGCCGACATTTAATTTTTGGCAATTTTTCAGACAAGCCGTGTAGAATAAAGTGATTTGAGTTCAGTTTTCCACAAATGTGTAGTTCAAAAAACAACAAAAAGTTGAAAATCCGTTGATTCTTTCTGGTTTTACAGGTTCTGCTTCTGACAAATGGTGTCATTTTGGCATTTAAGAAAAAAAAAATCTCATGCCTTTCAAATCCGCAGCCAGGTTTTAGGGTTCAGAGGGTTCATATTTAGTATTTTTGCACTTGATAAACAAATACAACATCGCACGGCACCTGCTGAGTTTAATTTGCCGTGAAGCTAATCAGCTTCCTCCCCTTCCACCCCTGTCTTCCTCTCAGGCGATGCCAAGCGTTTCACCGTGTCGGTGAAGCAGGTGGAGGATTATCCTGTGGACCTCTACTATCTGATGGATCTGTCGTTTTCAATGAAGGACGACTTGGTTCGCCTGCAAACCCTGGGCAACGAGCTCGCCGCGACCATGGGCCGAACCACGTCTAACCTGCGCATGGGGTTTGGAGCGTTTGTGGACAAAACTGTGTCCCCGTATATGTACACCTATCCTCCAGAGGCAGTCGTAAACCCTTGTTGGGGGTAGGTATACTGGTGTTGAGTTTGAACAACTCTGTCCAGTTGTGTTGAAACAGTTTAAAATGGATTTTTCTCCTCCACTGATTTCCCTTTCTTTCGTTACAAACAGGATCAATCAACAATGCCAGGCTCAGTTCGGGTTCAAGCATGTGTTGTCGCTGACGGAGCAGGTGGATCGCTTCACCGAGGAGGTGAAGAAGCAGCAGGTGTCCAGGAACAGGGACGCTCCAGAGGGCGGATTTGATGCCATCATGCAGGCCGTGGTGTGCAAGGTAAATAAATAAAAAGTAATCAGATACAGACCCTCCTGCTGGCTGATGTGCAAAACTGAAATCTTGGGGTGACACAAAGAAACCACATGCCATGAACTGGATTTCAGAAATTTTATTATGCAAACACTGTCAATATGAGACTTAGGAGGTCGCAAACTGATTGGTTTCTTATATTACAGTAAAGATCTAAAGTGCAGAGACTAATAAAGGGATATAGGTACCATTTTAGTTATGGGGTACCACTGTTTAAAGTAGCACCCATAAGCAAAACATTTCTATTATTTTTGGTTTCAATATGGATATGTTTGTATCTCATAGTCGGTGCATTAGACTTTCTATCATCATTTCTGTGTCATCAGGATAAGATTGGATGGCGTCCGGACGCCTCACACCTTCTGGTGTTTACCACTGACGCCAAAACTCACATCGCTCTGGACGGACGTATCGCCGGCATCGTCCAGCCCAATGACGGAAAATGCTACCTGGACGATGACAACAACTACAACAAATCTACAGTGCTGGTGAAGGGACACATTCAGATCTTTATATTCAACTTATAGGAGCTGTCAGAGAGACTTTTTAAGACTGCATGCTTGTTGTGTCTGCCAGGACTACCCCTCCTTGGGCCTCATGACGGAGAAAATGTCCGAAAACAACATAAATTTGGTTTTTGCGGTGACCAGCTATGTGGTGCAGCTTTACAAGGTAAACAAACAGCTTGTTCCTATGCACGAGTTTGATGTCTTTATGGGAAAAACTAAAGAAAATCTGGGTCATCATGTTGCCGCCATGTCTGTCCTCCCAGGAGTACAGTCAGCTCATTCCAGGCACGACTGTGGGAACGCTGTCTGATGACTCCGGGAATGTTATCCAGCTAATTGAGCAGGCCTATGCGGTAAGAGCTGTCTGAGGCTGGGATAATAAGAAGAATATGCAAAATCATGTTATCTATCTATCTGAGAAAATGTGCAAACTACACCAATAAGCTAAGATGTGATGCTACACTTTGCACTGCCGTTTTACATATTTTTTTAAATCTTTGAAATGTCTTAATGTTAGAGACTCTTTGTGCTGTTTTATGGACTTTTTGTAGGTTTTGCAAAGTCCTTATAGATTCCGTACCTTTAAAACTTCACTGTATTCCTGTCTTGCGCTGCAATGTAATGGCATTAAAGCTTCTCATTCTGATTCTGATAACTTTACTTTGAGCAGAAAATTCGCTCTAAAGTGCAGCTGGAGCTACTAGGAGTCCCAGAAGAGTTGAACCTCGCCTTTAACGCCACGTGCCTGAACGGAGAGGTCATCCCTGGAATCAGGTCCTGCTCCGGCCTCAAGATCGGAGACACAGTACGTACCGGTTAAGGATAGGGGTCAACCGATAGGTTATTTTTTTAAAATTAGGGCTGATACCGGTGTCGATTGCTTGTAATCAAGAAAGGCCAGTAACTGATATTTGGAGCCGATTTACAATAATTGTGACGTTGAATAATTCAGTTTTTGCATTCTCTGCTTGAGACACATTTCTGAGAAAATATGTCTACATCAGACCTGAAGTAGTGCATTTAATCAGTCAATAACAACACCGATAATGGGTCTATCCCCAGTTAAGATGCTGATATGTTGCAGAGTTTCACAGCGATACTTCCTCTCCTTTAGGTCTCATTCAGTGTGGAGGCCCAGTTGCGCGGCTGCCCTAAAGAAAAGAGCCGCACTTTTACCATCAAACCTCTGGGCTTCAAGGATTCTCTGGAGGTCACGGTGGACTTCGCCTGCGGCTGCGCCTGCGAGGCGACGGCCGAAGAGGACAGCCCCCTCTGCAACAACGGCAACGGGACCTACGAGTGCGGCGTCTGTCAGTGTCACCCGGGCCATCTGGGCCCACGTTGCGAGTGCTCCGTGGAGGACTACAGGCCATCAGACGAAGGCAACTGCAGGCCCACGCCGGACAGCCCGATCTGCAGCGGTAGAGGCGACTGCTTGTGCGGACAGTGTTCCTGTCACTCCAACGAGTTCGGTCAGGTGTGGGGGAAGTTCTGCGAATGCGACGACTTCAACTGCCTGCGCTTCAAAGGGGCTCTGTGCTCTGGTGAGTAGATGCAACTCTTTCCATCTTGATGAGTTTGAGTTCACCACCACACGAAGAAGCACTCAGTGGATCGGAAAGTGATGTGACATAAAGCGGCTTCTCCCGATGCAGCGGTAAAGGCAATCAATGTTCACTGGAGGAACAAATTCCCCAGAAATTCAAGGTGCAAAAGTTAAAAAGCTGTAATTAGTGGCTCATGATTAAAAACACGGCCAGCGTGTATCGACTGCACACCAGGCTTCTTCAGGAGCAATCACATACAAATGCAAGTTTCAATCACACAAAGCTCCTGTCATGACATCGATACTTAATGAATAAACACAGTGTCACAGGGAAAAGTAAATGTTAACTTTTTCCGATTAAATTATCTTGAAACTACATTTTGCTGTTCATCCTCTGAACCCCAAAACCGGCTAGGAAAAGGCTTTTTTGTTTTGTTTTGTTTTTTGAAGGCCAAAATTACACTATTGAAACTGTAAACACACTAAAAAGCATCACATTTGAACTTTTTCACAGTCCTGGAACCACTTCGTCTCTCTTCTACTGGAAAAATTTACCAAATTTAGGCTTACAATCATACTATTTCATCAAAATTACTTTATTAAACATGTTATTTTTTTTAAAATAATCCTATAAATAAGTGGTTTCCTCTGTCTAGATTCTGTAGAAGTTCTGCACTCTCCATCGTAGCTGTAAAGCCATGACTGACTCCGCTGTGACCAAGAGTCACACAGTAAAAACTCTTTTTGGTTGAACTGCAGGTTGTGTTTACACAGAGCAGACAGAAGACAAATACAGAAACAAACTAAACAATTTTTTCCAGTATTGGTAACAACTGGGCAAAACTGATATTCAACTTTCTTTTTTTTCCATGACTTATGACATTCTAACTGTATCACTGCACAGAGGACATTTCTGAGCTTTTTCTACTTCTAGTCATGGTTTGCACTGTTACCATAGAGGTTTAGGACTTTATATTGCAGCGGATAAGAGCCTGCAGTGAGTTAAAAATGTGACAGGAACAAAAAGAAACACGGGGTTCAGAGGACTTTGAGTCAACTAGAGAAAAGAAATCATAGGTGTGAAAGGTTTGATTCACCCAAACTACACTTAAACACATTTTCTCTACTGAATTGACCTCCACTGACTCGAGCCGTGGATGAAATATTGAAACCGTAACTGTCTGTGTGTTATCCCAAAAGCATATTACTAAATGAGGAAATGTGTCATGGTGTTATGATAATTCGTTTTATCACTCAGGATGCACTTGCCCTTCCCTTCCTTTTCTGTGCTCTGCGCCGCTCTCTAAACACATCTTAGTCAGTTTACATATTTTATCTGTTACTTCGCTAAAACCCCAAGTCCTAGTATTCCATTATTAGGACTTGCTTGTAGCAGAGATGTAAATAATTATATAAGTTATGTGCCGCGCGTAAACAGCAGAGCTTACAGATGCTCGGCCCACTGCGGGGCCTGTAAACTGGCTGTGTGGACTCTATAAAAGGCCAGACGGAGAACACACCCAGTTATTGCTGTTTGATTGGTGTTCTTACAACTCTCGCCGGTGCTGCATGAAGCGCCATCACTCCCCATTACAAGTCTGCACAGCTCGGTGCACAGTTACTCAACTGCAGTGATAAAACTTTAATAGCCTTTGTCATTGGGTAATTTAATGTAACAGCAGTTTGGGTCTGTGATTGTAAAGAGGGAGGTTGAGCAATAACAGAGAAGGAAGCTGCTCTTTTGTCTTTAAGCAGGGCAGACTTCAGCTGTGGGTACTGACTCCAGTGGGAAGGAAGGAGGTGTCAAGTTCACTGTGACCTGAACTCCAACAGTTTAAGGTCCCGCTCAGCTTGGACACGTATGTTTTCTGTAGCTTTGGAGCAGCTTTGGCAACGAAATAAACAGAGCGACGTTGTTAAGGTATCTCCTCCTGGACCTGGAGAGGAAAAACTAAACATAACATAAATCCTGTGCTGCAAAAAGACTCGTGGAGATGAAACAACATGCAAGGAATACAAGGGTTTGGGTTCAATGTATGTGGTTTGGTTCGACTTCGTTCCTCCTGATACTTAGAGATGGAATCTACTCGAGGATCCTGGTCTGAGCCTGGATTTACAGATCTAGACCTAAACTTCCTGAACTCACAGACTCATCAGGTCCACCCAAATTAATATCAACTGTATTTGATAATTAGGAATGAAAAACAGCCACGTTCAAGGCTAACCTTACCTACAGATATCAAAGTCCCACTTGTAGTTCTCAACCTGTGTTGCCATGACCACACCTTCTCAACCACAATTTATTTAAAATTGCACAATACCAAATTGTAATATTGGAGTAACTCAGCCACACATGTTCTAAACCTGGAAACTGATTCTGATAAATGACAGAGTTGATGTGATTTGTTCTTTAGGTTTGTAAAAATCCTGGAACCCATGTTTTTCAGCCACAGCTGCCTATTTTGCTCATGACAATTCTTTTAGCATTTAAAGAACACCTTATGGACCTGTTGATGAACACTTGATTTTTATTAGAAGTGTTTAACTTCAAGTTTCAACACTTTGGGTGGACTTTTGATCAGCAAGGGGAAGTTTTCTGATGTGCTTGTATCAACAAGGACCAGCTTTCTCAAGATGTCTTTCTCAAGGGAGGTTGTTTTTGCAACAAATAGGTGTTTAGGCAGTCGACACCCAGGACTTGAACTAACATAAAGTGGTGTAAAACAGTCCACAGAGCTCAATTTGGGACTCGCAGTGTCTCGGGCACGGGAGTGATGTTGTCTTTAAAGAAGCAGCGTCCCTCAGCCCCACCTCAATTGGAGCTACCGCAACCCGGAGAACCTCGGCGATATTCCCCCCCGACGGCGTATTTCTTCCACTTCTTTGGGGCTTTGGTGCAGAGTCAGTGAGCAGGAGTCGGCAAGCACAGCCTCAGGGCCCGTAAATATGAGGGAAGAACAGGAAGGTTTGCATTCCTCTGCTGGCAGCGAGCCCAAACGCTTTCCTCTCCAGTATGTGTCTGTCCACACTTGACTTGATTCTCATCCCTGTTTTCTTTCCTCCAGTGTTCTGTCTGTATTTCTGTTCTTGTCCTTTTACCACCAACCCCCAACCTAAACTTCGCTAAAGCTCCGGCATGTGATTAATGGACAGGATTACTGCGCTGCCTCACAGAGAGGGGAACATGATGTAAACCTAAAAACTCCCTTTTATGTCCATGAATCAACTTCACAAATAATTAGAACAAGAACACGACTCGCTGATGTCAGCTTTAAGTGCTCTAAAGTACAAGTCACTATGCCGTCTCTTAGTGTTTTTCACCAAAGAAACATCGAACACTAAAATAAAGGCAATAACTCTGGTAGCTCTTTAAAGAACCCCCAAAGGTGCCTCAAAGAAACATCACAAATTCCAGCTGGCCCAGTAATTTTCTAAATAAAAGGTTCCTTGAACATTTTAACCCAAATGATTCCGTGCCGGTTGAAAAACAAACGCGTGAACTGAGTTGCTGGCTGTTTATTAATGTTCCTTTTTCTGTGTTCAGTTACAGACGAGTAAAGTATTAAAAACGTCACCTTGAGAGAAGCACAAAGCAACACAAACACAAAAATCCAGCCATAAGCGGGAACATAGAACCCTTAAACCTTAAAGGAACTTGTGAAGCCAAGCTACAAAATGGAGAAACACTGACAGCGAGAGACACGTTGATTTTAGAAACTTTTATGTATGAACTTTTATGTATTTTCAGCAGTTTTGGGTCTTCTATTAGAACCCATTTAATATTTTGGGCTGTTGGTGAGACAGAACAACAGAAGTCGTCCCCGCCATACTGGATAATGTTACCTACAAGTTCTATCATTTTCATAAGGAAACATTTCAAGAAACAATTCAGTTCAACACAGATTATGTTCCGTGATAACAAAGGAGGAACGTTCTCAAGCTAGCATTAAAAACCCATCGAGGCTTCAAGAACATTCTTTATAAGATGTTCCTGTATCCTGATATATTAACAAAGGTTCTGCCTGAAATGTTCTGAGGATGTTTTCGGGATGTTCTTGAGGGAGGAACAGATTATAGAACGTTCTCACAAGGTTGTATTATAACAAAGGAAGAACATTTTCAAACCAACGTTCAAGAAATGGTTTCCAGATGTCCTCAGATGACAGAACGTTTTTTTTACCAAACGTTTCTTTATCCAAAACATTTTATAATGGTAGAGGGAACAAATTATAGAATGTTCCTTAATAAAACATTCCCACACCGATAAGGAAGGATGTTCTGAATGCAACATTTGGAGAACATTTTCAAGATGTTATTGAGGGAACCTGATGACAGAATGGTCTTTGTGAGACATTCCTGTACTGCGATATATTAACAAACTTACAACATTTTGCCTGCATTTTGGGGATGTTGTTGAGGGAACGCATAATGGAATCTAAAAACTGTTCCCAAAATGTTTCACAACGTTACACGGTATGTTCTCAGTGTAACATTCAGTTTTGAGAACATTAGCGCGCAACACTTGAACAATGTCGTCACCAAACATTTTTAGAACATTTTTCATTATTCTATGTTTAAAAAGAACATTCTGGGAACTAAAAGAAAGCGTCCCTCAGAATGTTTTTGGAGCAACAGATTGTAGCTGAGGTGATGGGCATTACTCACTATTTTTCTGATGATAAATTTATTATTGAAAATAGTTATTGGTAACTGTAATTTCATGCTTTCACCTGCCACCAAATCACCCCAATAAAATGAGTAGATTTCTTATTGTGTCTAGACTTTCTCTATCAGCTATTATCTTGCGGACAGAGTAACAAACCCAAGAGCTGCATTTCCAAGACTGTTAACCATTAACACCAGCAGCTACAACCGTAGTCTGAAAGAGAAACTGCCGTTATCAGAGTGGACACCAGGGAGTTGTTTCCTCACATTCACAGCTGATTTGTTTTAGGCTGAGAGACCCTTGGACCCCTTCTGGGATGTATCATGACCAGCAGTCACTCCCCCAGTCTGGTCCAGCTGAGCCGTGACTCACTCTGTTTGCTCTTTAGTCATCAGGAGCCAAATCCTGTTTGGTTTCCTGCGCTGAACGCTGCGATCTCAGGGGTTCTGCTGTTTTTTTCTAGAGGTGGCTCAGTCGCTGATGTGACGGTAAATCCAGGAATGCGTCACTGTAGCACTGCTCCTCAAGTGACCTGCCTGAGAGATCTCAGTAAAGTCAGAGGATGTGTTTGGGTGGGATCAGGAACAATTCGACTCACAACAGAACATTTTATACCTTTGACAGAACAGTGATGATGAGCAGGAATGTAAGCTGAGTAATCTAGATGCAAAAACAGTTAGTAAGACTTACTTGAAGCAGATCTTTGTTTTCAAATGCAATCAAATGTCCAGAGAATGTTTTAAGTAAGTTTCATTTCAACACAGGTTATGTTCCATGATAACAAAGGAGGAACCTTCTCAAACTAGCATTCCAAAACATTTTTTTCAGGTGATTTTTAGAAAACCTTCCTATAATGTGATATGAGTCGTGTCAGAAAAGTTTCAGGACTGGTGTCACAAAAGATATATTTCAAATCCAAACTACAAACGACACAAATCGTATATTAACAAGGGCCTGCAATGTTCTAAGGCTGTTTAGTGGATATTCTTAACACTCTTCTATAAAACCTTGTCACAATGTTCCATGACAACAAAGGAGGAACCTTCACAAACTAACATTCAAAAACTGTTTTCCACATGATTTTTTTAGAAAACATTTCTGTACTGTGTTGACAAAGGTGGAACATTCTGGTTGCAATGTTCTGGGGATGTTTTGGGGATGTTCTTGAGGGAACACATTGTTGAACGTTGTTCTATTAAACGTTCTCACAATGTTATATCATCACAAAGGAAGAACATTCTCAAACCAACATTCAAAAAATGTCTTCCAGAAATTATCAGATGACAGAATGTGTTTTTGTACAGTGGGTTTTGTAACGTTCTCGTTACATATTGCCTTGTTGTCGACGGAACACATTATAGAACGTTCTTCTGTGAGACACTTCCACAGTGATGACAAAAGAAGGATGTTCTTAAATGCAACATTCAGAAAAATGTTTTCAAGATGTAATCGAGGCCTCGGATGACAGAACGCTCTCGATAAGACGTTCCTGTACTGCGATTTACTAACAAAGGTGGAACATTCTGGCTGCAATGTTAGTCCTTCATTCTTTTATTAAACAAATCAGTCAGTCAACAGAAATTGTAATTTAAAATCATAGATAAGTACCGAAATAACAAATCAGCTCCACCTTCACACCCAACGACTAATTACGCGGTTGCAGAATCTTCAAACTCCTCTGCAGGAACATGAGTCAAAGCTTGCAACATGTTTTTAAAAACACACGTCTGTAGGCAACAAACTCACAGACACAATACACTTACAACAATAAAGCAATAAAACCACACACAGACACACACACACACACACACACAGAGTCGTGTTTCCTTCACTTCAGAAGGCATTACAGCGACTTACACTAATTTCCTGGAGACTCACCCTTATGCAGTGTAAATACATTTACTAAGTAGCACAACACACACATACACACACACACACACACACACAGAGTGATTCATTAAACACTTGTGCAACTTGTATTTCACGGTTTTGTTTGCCTGGCCTCACCCAAATGAGTGTGGACACAGGAAATATATTTCAATGAATATTGTGTTACAGCTCCATCTTCCAAAAATGCATTTCTATACAGTTAAAATGCATTTTCAGTGACGTTTTGAGGGATTGTGTTAGTAAGTGAAACACTGTTTGAGTATCATGAAGGTAGAAAAGTGCAGAACATTTACAAATATTTTCAAATCTACATATCTGTGCCATTTATTTTTATCACCCTGGTAACCAATAAAATGGAGGAGGAGCTTCAGACATGTTGCAAAAAGGTCAAGTTTGAACCCAAACTGTGATGTTTCCCCACAGAGAACCAAACAGCATTTAAAAATGAAACTCAAGTCTAAGAACAATGGTCCTACAAGAACTTAAAAAACCAAACAAATAAATCTGCCTCATAGGATATCCAGGAAATTCTCCATTTGTTGAGTTTTTATGTATTATCTTTGTGGGATCAAAACTCTAACTGTATGAGCGGTAATGCAGGTCCTTCCTTCCTGCTGGTATCAGACTTTATGATCAGCACTGTTCCCAACTGGCCTCACAATCGCTACATGACTACTACTACGACGTCACAGTCTTACCTTTCAGTAAGAAAAAGGGTTGCTTTCAAAACGTTAATACGGATGCAGTTCGGCTCTGTAGGAATGTCCGTTTTGAGATGCAACATGTAGTACCTGAACTATACATACTGGTCATTTCTATCTTGGGATTAACCTGTTCTGTTCTTATTGATTCTCTCAGATCATGGAAAGTGTAACTGTGGCTTCTGTCAGTGTGATGCCGGCTGGAAAGATGAAAACTGCAACTGCACCACACGAACCGACACCTGCATGTCCAGCATCGGCCTGCTGTGCAGCGGCCGAGGCACCTGCGAATGTGGGGTTTGTCAGTGCACTCAGCCTGGAGCCTACGGAGCGACCTGCGAGAAATGTCCCACCTGTCCCGACTCCTGCACCATAAAGAAGTGAGTCTGAAATCACTTTAAAGCTTTGTCAGTCGTGCGGCTAACGACTTTTGTGCTGCAGGTTGTCTTTAGACATCAGGTCATGAAGTTATGTTGTATCCAGAGTTGACATTTTGAGGGTGGTTCTAAGGGGAAACTCATGCAGTGTCCAAAATGGAAAGGGCTCATCCTCTGGGGACCACAAATATGTACAATAACCCAGTAGACGTCTTTGTTTACTCCTTCTTACTACCAGCAACAATATCCCCTGCTGTAAAAAGGAAAAAAACACCTTTATTCTAGCATTACAGCTGCAAATATTAACATAATATGGGTACAGCTGAGCTATAATACACAACTGACAGCATACATCAATCATAGCATGAACTTAAAGATCCCATGTTATGGTTTTCGGATTCCTCCTTTTCCTTTAATAAGTTATATAACTGTTTTTTTTTGTGCTCGTACTATGTCTGCAAACTTCCCCCAAAAAATCCTTCACTGCTTTTCTTCTGTTACTTATCTACATCACCACGTAACACATTTACTTAAAGCCTGGCTAGCGTCTAGTTTCACCCTAAAGTCCCAGAAATGAGCAGCCTTCTTGCAGTCTGACATCATTTTCTTGCTACACTGTAAAAGAAAAACAAAAAAACAAGTGTGTTCAACCTTAAAATATTTTGTAACATGGCTGCGTTCAAATCTTGAGATAAGCAAGCTAATAGATTTCAGTTATTTGCACATGTATCTGACTCGTCAAACTTCTAGTTATATCTTGATTTGTAAAAACAGAGGATCTAAAATGCAGCAGACAGGACAGAACCAGTGTACAGTATGAAGACAAATAGTGTGTTTTTGGAACTTTAAAGCATGTGAACATATTCTAGTAGACCCCAAAAATAAAATTACAAACCTTGAAATGTGCGTTATATTGTCTCTCCAACCCTCAGTGACCACGTTCAATGGCTTTATTTGCTTTTATAAAACCTTCACTGCTTCTTTTATCTATGACAGATATTCTGATATGTTCAAAGTAAATAAAAACTGCAAAAAAAATATGTAAAAATAAAATAAAACATCTGCCACTTTGGACATTAAGTATCCATCTAAAGGCTTCTGCAGCAGCTGCTCCAAGTCTGTCAGCCACGACCTGCTGCAAAACACTGAAGCGTAGTTATTAGAAGTGGAAAATTACAATAAAATCAAAGCTTATTATGTTAAAAACATCTTCAACGACCCCACGCAAGCTTCCATTTTTCTCTATCGCACTAATGAGCCAATTCCTGTAAAAACAAACTATGTGACGTTGAAGGAGAAGTCGCCTGAAAGTTCTTTCCTATTCAACATATCACAATAGCACATTGTGATAAATGACTCCACTTAAGCTACAAGATAAACAGTTTGCCGAATACAAATACGTGCTTCAGTGGCTTTTTTATGGTACTAAAAGGACAAAAATGGAATTTATCGTCCTGGAAATATGAATACACAGGAAGAGAAATTGTGCTTTCAAGCTGCTTGATGGATTAAAATGATGATTATTTTTGACCTAATGGTGAAAGAAGTGACCAAAATCATATATATATATCTATATGCCCAATCTAGAATAATATGCTGACTTGGCTAGTAGTTTTAGATAAACGATTGATCACCTGATCGATCAATTATCAAATCTCTCAACCATCTAAACAGCTGATTCTGCCGTCTTTAGGCCCTGAAAGCACTGACTGAAAATGGACCACTCACGGACTGTGTTGCGCTTTCTCATTCCAGAACGATAGCACAAACTTCTCCCACACATTTTTCTACTAAATTCAGGTCAAACTCCTCTAAACAGTTTCGACAGTCAGGAGATATCCCCATCGTCTCTCTCCTGGTTTGCCGGTTTCGTCCATGTGAAGCGGAAGTGCCGCTAAAGAGAATTAATTGTGTTTGCAGGAAGTGTGTTGAGTGTCAGCACTTCAAGAGAGGGCAGTACACCGACGACAACAGCTGCAACAGAATCTGCAGAGATGAAATTCAAGTCACAGATGAACTGGGTGAGAAACTCCTACGTCTCTGATCTCACTACATACCGTGATCCTGAGCTGCTCTGTTAATGATTTACTGCTGTTGTTCTGATAAGAGTCTGAAAACAGTCGCCTTCATTCGTACGTTGTGGTTGTGTTTGCTCCTGTCACATTTTTACTCGCTGTCAACTTGTTTTTTTTCCTGCATCATAAAGTCCTGCACCTCTATGGAAACAGTAAAATCATGGCTAGAAGGAGAGAGAACTCAGAAATGTCTTTCATTTAGTGTGACGCAATTATAATGGCTTACAGTATAGAAAAAGAAAAAAAAGTTTGATATTTTTGATTATTTATTTTATGAAGGTAAGAGGGGGAAAAAAAGTTTCTACATTATTTTTTTTATAATTTTTTTTACCAACACTAGAAAAATGAATGGTGACTCCCTGTGCTATAGACATTTTACCATTTACATTTTAAATATTTTTCCTCTCTGTTTTGTGTAAACACAGCCTGCAGTTCAGCTGAGTTTAGCCAAAAAGTCTCTGAATTTTTATCATGTGACTGTTGGTCACAGTTTAGTCAGTTTTGGCTTTTCAGTTGCACCAAAGTGGACAGAATTTTTAGCTTTTACAGAATCTGGTTTGAGTTCACGGTTAGTATTTGGCAATTTTTTTTAAAGGAGACATGAACAGCAAGATCATTTAAAGCTTACATCTGGTGAAGAACACTGCATCACAGATGAGTAGTTCAAGGACCATCGTAAAGTTGAAAATGCAATGATTTTTTTTCTGTTTGTGCAGCTGCTGGCTCTGATAAATGTGATCTTATAAAGCCAACATGCCTTTCAAACCCAGAACTTGACTGGTTTGGGGTTTCAGAGGGTTTAAGATGAATTATTATACACTGAAACCATTTTTTGACTTTGTTCTTGTTCTTCTTCTGCCCACAGAGTTCCATGACAGAAACGCAGTGAACTGCTCGTACAAAGATGAGAACGACTGCATCGTGCACTTCCAGTATTACGAGGATGAAAGCGGCAAATCCATTCTGTTTGTGGTGAAAGAAGCAGGTACTGTGAGAGTTTAGGTGCGATATTAGGACAAAATAGTGCGCTGTGTTTGTTTCTGGGAGGCCACAGCAACCAGGGAATGCATTTAGCAATGTGTTATTATCTTAGAAACACATCATCAGCCAGTTAACCACAGCTACTCTTCGCCTGCCACACCACAGAAGCTCAGACACATAGTGATGATGCTCCACATGGTTGTGAAATGGAACATCTGACGTTGCTTAACTTCCTGAGTGTGCTCCTCTGCAAAAGCTCTTTATCTCCCCGCTGTCTTGTCTCCCAGAATGCCCCGAGGGCCCGGACATCCTGGTGGTGCTGCTGGCGACGGCCGGAGCCATTCTGCTGCTGGGCCTCATCGGCCTGCTCATCTGGAAGCTGCTGGTCACCATCCACGATCGCAGAGAGTTCGCCAAGTTCGAGGAGGAACGAGCCAAAGCCAAGTGGGACACGGTGAGAAATAATTACAGCCAACAGCTACTTAGCCGCTAATCTAGAGGCCTAACCATCGGCCAGAAGCTGGGGAGCTGCTCAAAAGTTCACCTCCAGTCTCGAAGCACAGTTAAGACACTGAAATTGAATTCTGTGCACAATTATTGTCTTATTTTGTTAGAAAATATCCTCATAGCTCTGATGGAGCTCAGGATTCATCCACAGAAGCTTTAATGCAAATAATTCCACCTTGTAAGTAGAGTCAAGTCACTGTGCTATTAAGTGCTTTCCTGTAAAAACTGATGATGGTGTTACGATTTAACCTAACACGTGTAAATACTGGGGTTTAGGACCCTAAATGTCATTAAAGTTAAAATAATTTATATATTAGAGATTGAAACCCTATAAAACTTACATAACAAACTGTTTTACCTGACTTTAATACAAAATAAAGCTGAGAAACTGCAGTGTTTTTAATTATGGAGGCTGACTAAAGTACAAACTAATGTAACTTAGACCCTACGGTATCATAAAATTCAGAACTATAACTTTTGTAATGATGCTTTATCTTATTGAAAATGTCTCGACAGCCGATGGAGCTCAATATCCAACCAGAAAATCAAATCAAATCTATTGATATAGCACATTTAAAACAACTAGAATTGACTGAAGTGCTGTAGAAATTATCTGCAAAACATCGAGATACAACGAGTAAAATCACATTTTTAAACAAAACAGGCAAAATAAGAAACATTAAGACCAGTAAAGTCATTGAAAACAGCTGACCTGATGTGTAGAAAAAGACAATATAATGTGCCGTCAGCTTGTGTTCATGACGTTATCGCTGCATAAATGCACGATCGCTATCAACTTAAAGAAGCACTTGTGGTTTCTGGTGTGTGATTTTGTTTATTAAAGTTGGAGGAAAGAATCACAGTCAAACAGAACGTCACAAGGTCGACTAATATTTCTGCAAAATGCGGATCTACGTTCATTGGCATCTGAAATACAAAATTGTTTCAGATCTGCCGGAGTCACAGTAATAGCTGCATTTTGACAGAGATGTCAGTAGATAAATAATGAGGTGTAGCGCTAAGTGGGACACAGGCTGAGGCTTCACCAACCCTGGCTGGGTCCCCTGGGTGATGTAGTGTGACACTGAAACACCTGACAAGTCCAGGAAACATCAGTGACGATGCGTTCAGGTGCATCAACGTGATGTACTGTGTGTTGAAGGAAGTGTAGTGCAATATGAGGGAGAAGTAAATGAAGTGAGACACATGAAATTTGATTTGTGTTGTTGCGGAGCTCTGCTGATTAAAGACATAAACTTTCTGCAGGTTTCATTCTACAACAAAATCTCTGTGCAGAAAAGTGAAGAAGAGCCTAAAACTCAATGAAAAAAGTAACTTCACTGCCTGTAATAAAGCATATCTATGGGTTGTGTGTGCCTCTCTGTTATATTAGCTTTGAGGAGCAGAAATATGAGGGGTTTCGCTCTAAATATTCATGGAAATAAATCAGTGTTTCCCCCCGGGAGCTACAGAATAAACCTAAAGCTTTGGCAGTGTGTTTACTGAATGCAACCAAGAGAGGAAGAGCTTTCTGAAAATAAATAGGAGACTGTTTACAAGGTCCACAAAGAGAGGACATATTTAACATATTTCAAAGTGTATAGTGAGGAGGGGACAGTTGGTATTTACTCAGTATTTCGGGGACACGACCTCCTGAAGGAATGCTTGGTGACGCCCTACCAGAGCTGCAACAACAGAATATGGCTGCCCTCTAAAGGGGAAACTCTAAACTTTATTTCTCTTTGTGTCTCCATCCCCCAGGGCAACAATCCTCTGTACAAAGGAGCCACGTCCACCTTCACCAACGTGGCGTACCGAGGCAACTAACGGCGAAAGGCGACCGGGGGAAAACTCAGGGCTCGACGACAGAGACGGAATGTAGCGGCGCAGATATAGATGTACAGGAGGCGTAGGAGGCTTTTACACTGTCAGGTGACCAGATACTGTGGCTGAAAAGTAGTTACTGCTGTCAACAATGATTGTACATAATGTAAAAATAGCTGTTAATATAAGTCACAGAGGGCTCTGTTCCTACACTGTGTGGTGTCCGTAGCATCCTCTGTAAGTACTGTACACTGAAAAACGTCTTAAAGCGATTCAGTCAGATCGACTCATCCTTTCTAGTTGACTTAATGTAAATATATGACTTTTGCCCATTTCTAGTTAACTTAAAATGAACCTAAAATGTTCTTATAACAGAATGAGAGTTTGCTCAGCTCATTAAATTAAGTTGATACCAATCAAAACTAGCATGTAAGCAGACTTCCCACGCTGTAAAATGTGAAAAGTTGATCTTACTTAAACTAATCTAGGAAACCGGTTGCACTCATAAAAGGTAAGTAAATACAACCATTAGTCTTAAATTCAGTTTACTTCATATCTACTTGTAAAGATTATTTAAAATTTAGCTGTGTTTACTTAATTTTGTGATCTTAAATAGCATAATAGTATAATGAACTTGATCTTTCCGAGTGTTAGAAACTTAAATAATAATAATAACAATAATTGATCAAATTTATAAAGCGTTTTTCTAGACGCTCAAAGAAGCTTTACACTGTCAATTATTCATTCACACACATTCATTCCGGTGAGCTACCAATCAATAATTGGAAGGTCGGTGGTTTGATTCCACCCTGTAACCTGTGTCGTTGTGTCCTTGGGCAAAACTCTTCACCCACCTTGCCTGGTGTGAATGCACATGAATGGATTGTTTGAGGTGGTGGTCGGAGGGGCAGAATGGCAGCCACGCCTCTGTCAGTCTGCCCCAGAGCAGCTGTGGCTACACCTGTAGCTACCACCATCAGAATGAATGTGTGTGAATGAATAACTGACAGTGTAAAGCGTCTTTGAGTGTCTAGAAAAGCGCGACATAAATCTGATCAATTATTATTATTATTTAAGTTTCTAACACTCAGAAAGATCAAGTTCATTATACTTGCTATTTTTAAGTTCACAAAATTAAGTAAATACAGCTACATTTTAAGTAAACTTAACAAGTAGATATGAAGTAAACTGAATTTAAGACTAATGGTTGTATTTACTTACCTTTTATGAGTGCAACCGGTTTCCTAGATTCGTTTAAGTAAGATGAACTTTTCACATTTTACAGTGCATGATCTATTGTTGGACATTCAAACGTCGTCTTTCATTGTAGTTTAGAAAACACACTGGTGGAAACTTGCTGTGTATCTTTGTTGAATTACATTTTTTGTTGTTTCTTTTTATAATTATGAAAACCCCGACAAACTTTAGCACTGAATTCACGCGTAGACGTCTCATTTATCTCCCTGAGCAGCCTCGCAGATTATCTTTGGTCAACAATGAATCCTGTAGCTGCAGCTTTGAAGTTCTGAGAGTTAAATGAAAAAGAAACTCTTCAGACTTAGAAAATCCATCAGGAAACACGTCTGTAACCGCCGCATATGTGACTGGTTGATTCAACTTAATATTTTAGGTTTATTAAACTTTTTTTTGGAAGTTCAGGCAATTTATTTTAGTCAGTTTTACATTTTCACAGCTCATAAGATGATTTTGAACTAATTTGTCAACCAAAGTGCAGAGGATGAACTTGAAATGATTTAGTGTCTGTGCATTGAGAGAGTTTTTTTGTTTTTCACAGAAACATACTGTTTGACTCTGAGTTCCCTCAACTCAACAAAATCAGTTGATAGAAAACATAATTAGCAGATAAACAGACTTCCCAAGATGCGCTGTTAGAGTTAAAACTCCCCAGAGACTCCTCTTTTTTTGAGTTTCAGAAAACAGACATGGTAAGGCAAGGCAGGTTTATTTGTGTAGCACAATTCGTACCCGAGGTAATTCAAAGTGCTTCACGAAAAAGTATAAGAAGATCGATAGGTCCACAGAACATAAACACAATTATTAGTAAATTACATTAAAAGCAAAGAGGCAGATAAAATCAAGCCATAAAAACATAATCATTGATTAGAAGAGTACAGATAAAATACTTCCAGCTGTCATATGCACAACTAAATAGAACAGTTTTCAGCCTGGATGTGAACATTGTCAGAGTTGAGGCCTGTCTCACATCTTCTGAAAGACAGTTCCAGATTTCAGCTGCAGAAAACTGGAACACAACCTCATCGTGTTTGGTCCTGACTCTGGGCACCAGCAGGAGACCCCTCACTGGGGTTCTCAGAGCCCGAGATGGTTCAAATGGCACTAACATGTCAGAGATGTACTTTGGTGCTAGACCATGAAGAGACTTGTACACGAGGAAAGTCAATTCTCTGAGCGACAGGAAGCCAGTGCAGATATTAGAGCACTGGACTAATACGGTCGTACTTCCTGGTTCCAGTCAGGTAGAAGCTTGGTGTGTATCTTTGTTAAACTAAAATATAGTTGTCAGAATGAATAAAACTACGACAAACTCAAGCACTGAATTTACCAGTAGATGTAATTTAACTCACTGTAACTGAGAATAGCCTCACAGATTGTCTCCGAAGTCAAAAATGGCTTCAACAGCTTAGGAAGAGACTCCTTAAAATTTAACAAAAATAAATAAATAAAAACGTAAAAGAAAGCAACTTTCCAACCAGCGTCTATGTGACTGATTGATTCATTGAACTTGTTTTCGCAAGTTTAGTCATTTTAACTCAGACAGTTTTGCATGTTCACAGTTCACAGGATGACTGTATAGTTGCATTTAAAGAGGAGCTCTTTAACAGAATCACCCACACTGTTTGTTCACAACAATTAGAGGAACTGCTTGTGAAAGTCTGTCACTTCCGTGCTCTTTCATAGGAAGATTTTCAACCACAGCAACTTGGTGTTGAAGATTTGTTTGTAGAGTAGGTTGGTGTAGAAAAAAAGAAGAATTCCAATTGTTAGACGGTACTGCAGTATTTTCATAAATTCCTAAGACACACTTAAAGGCTCTTTATGCACGTGACCACTTTCCTATTTTGTTATGCACGATTGCAGCAGCAGCAATGATTTAAACAAGAGTGCAGCATGTTGTGGAGCTGTTAAAAAAAATAGAAGAAGATGACCCTAAATACTGCAGCCTCTATGCTGACTTGGTTTGCAGTGACGTGCAGGTTCTATATTTAAAATGTAAACCAGCAGTGGGGACTTTACAGATGCTGCGACATACTGTGTTTTATTTTATTTTTCATCCTTGTTTTCATGCTTGTTGGGGTTTTTTGTGGGGTTTTTTTTGTCAAAGTGAAACTAAAGTACTGATCTATCCTGCTGCTGCTGCTGCTGTTTTATTCACTCACTGTGTTATTCTTTGTATTGGAGCAGGTTTTCTCGCACAGCTCACCAACTGTGCCCATTAACTTAAAGACTCTTCTCTGTACGCGGTGTTTTGTGGTTGTACAGCTCTGATCCTCTCTCAGGATGTGGCCTACCAACTCAATGCATATTTTCCTCACACGCTTTTTTAAAGAAGCCTCTGGTTCATTTGAATTTGTTGGTTGGATGGATAGAGATTTGTTACACTTTAGCTTTTGTGTGATGTTTTGATATTTGGGTTCCTCACTTAAAACAGAAACTCTGTGAGACGTTCAAATGGCACAATGTGCGTTCACGTTTGGATGAAGTTTCCAATAAATGTTAGAGAAGCTTCTGCCCTCTCATTTCTTAATATAAATACTGAAAATCAAAGGAGAGATAAATCGACACTTGATATTCTTTTGGGGTTTCAAGTAAGCAGGTCAAGATTGAGCTCTACTGTAACAGGTTTGTGTTTGGAAACAACTAATATAATAAATGCCAGTATGCAGATGTGAGAATCTGATTTAATCATGTTTTGTGCACAGCTTATCTGGTTCACCAGGAGAACATTTTCCTTTGCACGTCACACAGGATCAAAATAAGGTGTTTGTTTCACCTAGTTTGATGCCCATGGGTTTATGTGGTTTGTGGTTGCAAAACTATGCACTTCCCTTCAAACTGGCTGTTGTCACCACCTTCAGGTTTTAAAAAATAACAAAAATCCACATGCAACCTGCTGCTGGTTTGATCATCTGTACATCAAGCGCATTTATATTTTAGCTTTTTTTTTAACATCGTCATTGTTCTTGTGTAATCCATCTCTCTGATAAATTGTGTTTCTCTGTTACAAACTATAATCAGACATGTTTGATCATGTTGCATTTCTGCTGTGTTCTGCATAACATCACACTTCATCAGTTTCAAAATTATGTGTCTTTACCTGCACTGCCAGGAGCTCGTCTTTGTTATTATAGCCAGGCTTTGTTCTCTATTACGTTTTAGAGTTGTTCTCGTACAGCAGTGGGAAGTACTTTTACCCAACTTCTGTACAAGTTTAAAGTACTTTACTGCACTATTTCTATTTTAGCCTACTTTCTCTTTCAACTCTTTACTCTTTTCTACTCCATTACAGTTATCTGACAGCTTTAGTCACTTTCAAGATGAAAAACAAGCTTTTAAAATACAATGCACTTCCAATACAACTTTTTGTTGGCTTCTTCCACAAACCAGTGTGTAGTCAGTTCACATTTCAGATGCAGGTTTTTCCCTCTAAACTTCTCATATGTTCAAATGATCCAATATTACAGCAAAAATCTACAATTGGGGGAAAACTGAAAACAGATTTGTGTAACAGAACTCATTTGTTTCCCCTCTTTTCTCCCACATGAATCAAATTTGAAGCCCTCTGATTCATCTTCTTTTCCTTGGATATAAAGTAGATCAAACCTGCAGCAAGTCCAACAGTAACATGCTCCTGACACACTGATGCTTCACTATTTGTGATCTTATGATGGAGAATATAATAAAATATCAGTCAGAGAGGCCAAACCAGCACATTTTGCTGCTAATGCTAATGTAATGTTCATGCAGACTTTTAATTGGGTATTTTTACATTGCTGTATTGGTGCATTTACTCAATTTGTCTGTCAACATCTTCCATAACTGCTTCTGCAACACACACCAATGCTGCAACTGAATAGGTGCATTAAAGTGTAGAAAAGTCTAAAATAAATATAACACAGTGACTTCATTGCCTTTAACACCACCCTCTGTAAAAATCACACCTTGGAGTTATTTATGTCTTGTCTGCAAATCTCTCCCACTAAGCTACGGATATAAACTTATTAGGTAGCTGCTGCTGCTGCAGGCTATGTACAAAGGTTTGCAGAGTGCAAGACAATGACTAATGCCCCGAGGTGGATCCTGGTGAACGTCAACAATCAACCCGCAACTGTGTGACAAGTTGAAATCAGACTTTTTGGATTTAAATGTCCATTTTCTACAATTCCTGCACAAGTTATGTGGGGGGAAAAAAAATCCAGTTTGTTGTCTGGTTAGAACAGAAACAGTCTGTGTGTCTGACTGACACCAAAGAAGTACTGCAAGCATCTGTCTCCCTCTAGTGTATAAATACTGCAGTAATAGTATGCCACAGCACACATGGGGCGATGGAAACATATCATAGACATTATAATGTGAGAGAACGACTCAATAGAAACAGATGAACTGAGGAAATGCTGTCATAAATAAATGCAATGAGGAAACAGCAGAAGCAGGATGAGTCAAACTCAGAATAGCAACGTATGTCTAAGACAAAAAGGGGGGAAAAAAGCATTTAAAAAAGTGAACAGACTAAAAAGATAGACAAAATAGACTAAGTTATGTGAAAATTGTCAAATAACCAAAGAAAATCTATTTAAAAATCACTACTGTTATTAAAGTGCAGTGACAAAAGACAGATAAAATAATAATAATTTTAAAAAAGAACCATCGTGATAATTAGTATAGTAAAAACTGTGGTGATAATAATAACAATAATAATAAACTGACAAATAAATAACTAAAATCCATTTAAAAAATAATATTTTTGCTATAGTGAAGTGATAATAGAGAGATAAAATAGATTAAATCGTACAAGAAAAATAACAGACAAATAATTAAAATTGATTTGAATAATTACCATCACAATTATAGTGAAGGGATAAAATACAGTATAAAACTACAAAAATGTATTAAAATGTTATCATTCAAAAAATAATTACCATTTACATCAATAATAAAATAGTAATTGTTTTTGTTGTTGTTATTGTTATTATTATTATTGCTAGTGTTAATATTAATATTACTAAAAGATGGATGTAAAATTTATAACTGAATAGAAAAATAAATAGGATCGGATCAATAATAATAATAATAATAATAATAATAGTTTAAAGCCAGATCAAAATGATAGGCTTTTTAATTATTTTTGCTTTATTTTAAAAAGCAAATGTACAGTAATATTATGTGCAAACACAGCTGTCCATACCAGAAGAACATATACAAAAAGAAAAAGAGAAAAAAATTTAATATCAATTGTTCTCTCTAATATCGCCAACGGTCCCTGAACGCCCCACAGCTAAACGCCCCGGCTTCCTTCCGTGACGTCAGATCCAACATGGCGGCGCCCCTCACCGTGGACGGAGTGGAGGCAGGCGGCGGAGAGACGGGGCTGATTCTGACGGACTCCTCAGGCGGGGATGAGAAGAGACCTCAGTTCGGGACTCGCTTCCTCACAGACCCGCGGCAGGTCTTCCAGCACAACGCATGGTCGGTAAATAACTGCAGAAATGAGGAGAGAGAGGGCGGACACATGTTCAGGAGCGTCTCTGTCAGAGCTGCTGCTGGCTGCAAAATGGTCTTTACTCAATAGTTCAGCCAGTTTTCCTTCTGTCCTGTTGGATTCTTGGTGCAGAATTGATTGAATCAAGCAGCGACATCAAGTTAAATCTGTTATTTGGCAGCTACGACCAGCCACAGATTCAATAATTTGTTGTTTTGATTCGGCGTTTTATAAACAGACCGATATTTTCTTTTTTTTTCTGGGCCGATATCAGTTCTTTACTTTGGTGAAATGCCTTATTTATTTATATTTGAGATGTTTAGTTGAACATCAGATGATGATGTGACTCCAGAGTATGTTTCAAACGAACACTTTTTTATTTTCACTTTATTCTATAACATTTCCATTGTATTTTTTGCTTCTTTTTTTCCCCCACCTTTGGAGGAGGAGGACATTTTTGTCCTTCAGGTCTCAAGTGTGAGTTTTCCCTTTTTAGTTTGACACAATACAAAAAATAATAAAGTAATGAATCAGACTAAATGTTGGTGCTAATCAAAAATCAAAGAAATCCACTTTGATGGAAAATACATTATAAAAAAAATCAGTGACATCATATGAACAAACCAGCATTTAAAGGGTTATGATCATCCAAAAAAATTTTAATTAAATTAAAAAAGTATAAATATTTGGTAGATTTGATCAAGACTGATCTTGTTTAAAAAAAATCTACTTGGTAAAAGTGAAACACATTAATATTAAAACTCTTAACATAGTGTTTTTTGGCAGCTTTTTGGACATTTTTGTCCTCAAGTGTAACTTTTTTTAGTTTAACACCTGAGGATACGTACTGCAGCTGCCATCACAGAGTACGTACTGTTTCATCCCGTTTACATACAGCTGGGACAACCGGATGTAATTGGACATGCTGGTATTTGACATACTAAGTCTTTTTTCTGCTATATAGTACTGAAGTATTAATATTGTGACACACTGTGGGACTGAACGAATTGGGAAATAATATCTAATTGCTATGTTCAATGTCATCTACTAGAATTGTGGGTGTTTTGGGGTATTTCTTCGCTGTAATTGTAGGTTCATCTACATGTATATCCTATAAGTCTGGGTCTTTTTTGAGAATGCAGCAGACTTTATAGGATTTTACCCATGTGATACAAATAACGCTGCCTGCAGTTCACCTGAAAACTGAACACATGACTGTTGATCACAGCTTAGTCAGTCATGGCTTCTCAGATGTCACAAGGAGTGCAGAATTTTTTGTACAGGATTTAGCAGATTTGCTTATATTTGCTCATAGCTGATGTAATTTATTAACCACATCAGGACTGATATAATACAGCTTCAGTGTGGGTCTGGTAGAGTTTGTAAATATCCCAGCCTTGTCTGAAACCTACAAGAAAATCTTTATCTTTAGGTATCTCAGGTGCTGCTGTTACTCACCGCTTTGCTTTAACCAGACTGAATAATCGATGTTTTGTTGTCAACAGGGACAATGTGGAGTGGACCGACGAACAAGAAGCAGCTGCTAAGAAGAAAGTCTCAGAAAACAATCAGCCGCTGCCTCCAGAGAAACAAGGTGGCTGCAGAATCAAACACACACAATATGACCGACACCAGCTATCAGTAACAGAAGTGTAACTGTTTCTAATCAGGAGGACGACATTCTGCAGTGTTGCAGTATTTGCCTTAAGAGTCTGACCTTCTCATTGCTCAGATAAAATTTTTATACTCAACTTATACTCATGGCAAGATGTCATATTGTCTTACCTCTTGTTGCAGAGGAATTTGACAGCCGGGCCAACGAGTACTGGAACGAGTTCTACACCATCCACGAGAATCGTTTCTTCAAAGACCGACACTGGCTCTTCACGGAGTTTCCAGAGTTGGCTCCGCAGTGCAGCGTCAACCATGAGTGCCATCCAGAGGACAGTCAGGATCAAAAACTGTGCAGGGAGTTTGCAGCTTTGTCTCACACTGATGAGGACTTTCCCGGCTCCTCTGCTACATATCGTATTCTGGAGGTGAGAGATTTTTAGCAAGTTAGCCACGTTTTCGACACAAACAGAAAATGACAAAGACAGTTTCAGTCTCAGAAACTAGTTAACAGATTTGTTAAAATCGCAGAGTTTCTAATGGACTTCTGCACTCACTAGAATGAACCAATGTGGCACAGTATTGTCAATCACTTTAAGCGTTATGATGACAGTCCAGTTCCAGACACATACAAAACATTTTCTGGAAGAAATTTAACAATTTGCACGAAAGAAATTGTCTTTAAATTATTAATAAAGACGGTAAAGCCTCTGTGACTTCAGTGAAGGATGTGTGGCCACAAAAACACAACAGATGGCTAAAATCAGTTTGTGTTTTCAGCTGAAGTCACCTGGATCACACTGCCGTATCCCTCACTAATGAACACAGTATATGGTAAAACTGCATATTGAGAATTGTGCAGCCTTCACAAGTGCATATGAGGGTTGATCAAGTGACAAGACTGTGCATACAAAAATCTAAAACTGCAGCTGATTTAACCTTGACCACTAGCCTCATTAAAGCAGCCTCCTTGTGCAGCGACACTCTGCTCCCAGTGCTCCTGCAACGTTTGCAATGTCAAGCGCTGTCAGCCGTGAATCATCTAAACTGTGTCCAAAGAGCAACCCTTCACTTGAATTGAATTTTGGGGAAGAGGAAGAAGTCGCAGGGAGTGAAATCTGGCGAGTAGAGTGGGTGACGAGGGAAGATTGTGTTGTTGTGGCCAAAAAAATCTGTGTATCATCACTGGAGCACCGACGTGCACTGAATGTTCTCCCTCAGGATGTTCCAGTAGAACTCTGACTCTGGGGAACAAATTTAAGTTCCACAACCATGTGAATGTTGGAGGAAACAACCAGTATAACCCTGGTTGCTGCCCGTTGTACACTGACATGCACTTTTTGTAGCAACTGTACTTCTTGAGAGGATTCATTCTTTTAGAAGTGAAAAAACAAATGTGCTCTGTTCAGGTCGGCTGCGGAGTGGGGAACACAGTTTTTCCAATACTGAAGACCAACAAGTAAGTAAGCAGACAAGACGCTGACAGTTTAAAGTTTCATGTTTAAAAGAAACTCCTTGTATCTAAAAGTTCTAACTGCAGCTTTTCCTTCTTCGCAGTGACCCAGGACTCTTTGTTTACTGCTGCGATTTCTCCAGCACGGCTGTGGAGTTAGTTAAGGTGAGATGCCTGGGCTCATGAAAGGATGACGCGCTCTCATCTTCAGGCTCGTGGGTTAACTAATGAATTGAAATCGTCTTCTTGTCATCAGACTAATCCTGAGTACGACCCCGGGCGCTGCTTTGCCTTTGTTCATGACTTGAGTGATGTAGAAGCCAATTACCCCGTCCCCGATGGAACCCTTGATGTTATAGTGCTAATCTTTGTGCTATCAGCGTTGCATCCCAACAAGTATGAACTTCTTTTCTTCGCCTTCTTTCTTCTCCTTCCCTTTGGTTCTCACTGGGTGTGAGTCATTAAGCGTTGCGCCGCTTGTCTAAAACTTTCATCAATGTCTCAGGATGCAGGAGTCTATCAGCAGATTGGCTCGGCTGCTGAAGCCCGGAGGGGTGATGCTGCTCAGGGACTATGGACGCTACGATATGGCACAACTCCGCTTCAAGAAAGGTTAGTCGGGCTGAAGTGCAGCCAGACTCCAGACTGAGAAAGGACCATTATTAATGTCTTTTTTCTGGTGTTGAGGTGGAAGGGGGGAGATATAAATAAGTTTGGACGTGAAATTTTCAGTAAAAACATTTTTAAAGAACAGAAATGTAGTATGTCTCGAGCCAGTGGTACATGTCCACTGGATCCATCACTTCAGCGACTGCCATTCATTGTCTATGTAAGTAGCCATTCAATGCATTCTGGTAGCATTGCAATTCATCTTCAGTTTCCGTAAAGTTCAGTACTTTATGTGAGTCATGAGCGTCGTCTGCTGCTTGACACCTCTGGAAACTTCAGAAAAACTTTTAGTCTAATCTTTGTTAATGTAAAATGTAGACAGATTTGGCAACAGCATGGCTAATTTCTTGCCTGTATTCTTTTCGGAAACAAAATCTATGCAAAAGTTGAGCTGCCGCGGTCACTTTTAAGATAAGCGGTCGGGCCAGTAGGCTTTAGCATCACAGCAGACTTTCTCATGGTGGCACTTCACCAGCTAAACACCCACAATGCACTCTGCTTGCCAATATAGACCAGCTGGTAGTCTGAATGACCACCTCCTCAGTTTGGTACAGTATAAAACAGAAAGTGACCCCACCTGGTGGCACCATCAGGTACTACAATAGATCAGCAATACCTTTTCTGAGGCGCTTGTCCTTTGTCTTCTGCCTTATCTATTATGATATTTTTAATCTGGTAAATTAACATCCTTATCCTTAGCTGATCTACTACACTTGAAGTGTGTGTTATCTTGGAAATTGGTCTTCAGTGTCGGCAGATACTAAATAATACATTGCTTAGATGAAATCGTGGGCAAAAAACATGGATTTGGGTGTCTTTGTTAGAAAAATGAGTGTCTTTGTCACCTATTTATGTCATTTCCAGCCAGAGGGAACCTATTTGTCTAATTATTCTGGTAGTTTTGTTTCTGGATTTTAAAAAAAGTTTGTCCCTCCAAAGCAATATTTTGTGCTTCAGCATTTTAAATGACAACCAAAGCATGCTATTGTTATAAATTACACATCATGCAAATAGTTGTAGTAAGTTCAACTGCACATGTCCAGCTAAACTTTGGGATTTTATGCAATACTTAAAAAAGAATCTGCAAATTTAAAGGGCAATGCACTAAGGAATTAGTGTTTATTCATGTTTGATGTGGAATAATGTGCATGTTGTGTCTCATTTATTTCTCTCAGGAAGGTGTCTGTCAGAAAACTTTTACGTCCGAGGTGATGGAACACGAGTTTATTTCTTTACACAAGGTAAAAAAAATAATAATGGCATAATAATAAAGAGGTATTGGCGCTACTCTTAAATGGTGTCCATTCAGATATTTACTATCCTTTCAGATGAGCTCAATGAGTTGTTCAGCGAGGCCGGGCTGGAGAAGGTTCAGAACCTGGTGGACAGAAGGCTCCAGGTGAACAGGGGCAAACAGCTCACCATGTACAGGGTGTGGATCCAGTGCAAGTACCGGAAACCACTGGTTCAACCGCCAGACACGCAGGAGGAGCAAACCCGCCAGACTTGATGTTTAACTACAGCTGAAACTCTGAGCTGAACTGAGGGCGGTGCTGGCTTTTATTTTTCAGAGGATGTATGGAATTGAGAAGCTTTATCGTGATTGTAATAAAGGGGATGCAACAGGATGGTTACGTACTGTAAAGCTGCGACGATGAGGATGGACTCTGACGGTGCTGCAATCCTTGTTTCAAGAGCGATGAGTTCTCATTTTCTGCTCATGAGTTCTGAGAAAGGGCTGGTTCCCCCTTGTACAAATGTTTCTATTCTGCTAGATGTTGTTTTTAATCAGCTGATGTTTTGAAATAAATTGCATGATTTCTAAGAAAACTTCAGGCTTGTTTTGTAAATGCATAACAAAAAAAAGTTGAAGCCATAAATTCACTTTAGTCTGCAAACAACGATTATTTCCCCTATTTTGTTAATTAATCCAGTACTTATGTGGTCTACAAAATGTAAAAATATATATTTGAATATGTTGAACACTGTTCCTGCTCTACAGTTAAGAGCAGCATCAGTTTGCTGTGTTTTCTAGGAAACAGTTAAATTACACAAAACAGAACTTTCAGTCTTATTTTAGACCTCTTCCAGGCTCAGTTTATGTAAACGCTGATTTAATCTCTGCAGCTGAGAGTTTGATGAAGTAGAAAATGAAATTAGCTACAATAAACCAGAGCAAGGTGTTTCAGTAAGAAATACAGTGTACAGTTTAACAAACGTGTGACAAAAACATCAGAAAAACATCAGGAGGTATTTAAATATACAGAAAAGAAACACGACGTTGGAGCTGCAGCTAATGATGATCTTCTTCAGTAACTGATTAGTTGTTTGTTTTATGAATTATTAGAAAATGGTGAAAAATGTTGATTAATGTTAAAATGTCAGACAATGTAAAAAGCTAGAATCTCTTGATTTAAGCATTTTTTCTGAAAAAAATACTCAATTAGTTGTTTGGTCTGTGAAATATCAGAAAATTGTGAAAAATTTTGATTGTGACTTAAAATGTTGTTTTGTTTACAACCAAAAGTTTACAGTCATAGAACAGTTTGTGTGTTTCCTTAAGGAATCAGGAATTTTTACAATTCTTTTCCAGAAAGTTACTCAAATGGATTCGATTAGAATAGAATTATCTTTTATTGATCCCCCATTATGCCACAGCAGCATCCAGTTGTTTGCTTTATAAAATTTAAAAAGCTGAAATCAGAGAATTTTAAGAAACTTCTTTCAATTTATTTATTTATTTTTTGCTTAAATTGGTTAAATGATTAGTTGTTTGCTCTAAAAAGAATAAAGAAAGAAATTCAGACAATGACAATTTCAAAAAGTTTTTAAAAAGTCCATTAGTCTTTCCCAAAGCCCAACATTAAAAATGTCTTGTTCTGTCCACAACCCAAAGATATTTAGTTTACTGTGAAGCAAACCAGAAAACATTTAAGAAGCTGAAGTAAGATGTTCTTTATTTTTCTAAAGAAGGTCAGTCATGCTGAGTCGATCGAGTTCTTGTTTGCTCTATAGAATGTCAGAAAAATGCAAAATAATATTCACATTTACGCAGCTGGATTCAGAGAATTGAAACTTTACCTTTAAAGAAAAAAAAAACACTCAATGATTTATGGATTATCAAAACAGCTGGAATTTAAATTTTTATTAGAAACTTTAAAAATTGGGAAAAGAAATTCTAACACTGACCATCAAAATAGTTGATTATCAATTTAATAATCAACTAATAGTTGCTCGTTCTGCTGAATATTTAACTTCGAGGCTTTCAAAAGTAGAGTTAATTACTTATTATATAGTTACTCCAATGCAACTTTGCTTTTCATCACAAGATTTTCAACAGTTAAACTCAAATTTAAGCTTGAATACAGACTAATGCTACATGTTTTTGATACAGACTAAGTTGACTGCTGATACCAGTGGAGTCCCAACTTTGTGCCCAGTGATGGTTCTGCTGGTTGTGTGGGTGGGCGCTGCTAAATTGTATTGTGTTCACGGGGATTTGCCATTGGTCCAGACAGCAGATTTGGGGCAGGCGTGGACTGAGCGAAGGTGAAAATACTTGAACAATCTCACGAGAAAATGTGAGATTTTACTGATTATTGTTTACATTGCAAAAAAACATGAGAACCGAACCGAATCGATCCGGATTCAGCTGAAACGCTCGCAAGCGACTCAACTTCCGAAGCGGATCGGTTGGTTCCCCCGCAGCGAGGACGGCGACCGGAGCCGAACTTTTGTTTTGATCGAGCTGAAATCCAGCCAGGACCCGAAATTCATCTCACCACCGGGGGTAGATAAAGATAAGGAGGAGGGGGGTAACTAGCTTAAAGACATTATTTATACCTGGTTGGAGGAAAAAAACGCAGAATCTCGAGGGTCGCCATTGTGAGGAGCGAAGATACCCCGACCTCGGCACGGTATGGTCCGGATAGCGATGGGGATCCCCGCCTAAGGAGCACAGAAAGGCGGGTTTGGGATACCCGAGGCCTCCGAGGGAATCCTCCGTCGTCTGCCGTGAGCCACACAGCGCGCTCCCCGTGTCTCGACCGCTCACGATCAGTACGCGAGGGACGCGGCTGTGGATGCGGCCTAGCCTGGGAGGGTCTGCCGAGCACCGAGGAAACAACGGAGACGGCTTCGGGGTTGACAACAGGCCCCCCGGAGGACCGAGAAAACGTTAAATAACAGTGAGTATCTCGTTAGGTTGCCGAATTATCGGAGGAAAATGCGGACGGGGGGGTCGCAGTGAAAAACGAAGCCCCGGACGTCGTGGCTCGATCACCTGGCAACACAGAGCTGAGAGAGGATGCTTCTTTTTCAGTTAGCCCCCCTGCATACCTGACGCTAGCTACCCCGTATTTCCTCTTAAACCAGTTTCGCACTGTGGTTCTGGTATTTTTTTCTGATTAATTCTCAAACCACACGGCCATAACTGAACCAACATTCGCCTTGGTTTCGGTACGTTTACCCAAAATCACATCTAAGGCTGCTAGCTAACCGTTAGCTTCCTAAATTGCAATGCTAAGTGATGGCAGGCTTGTTAGCTCATTTAGCTCCCTCGCATATCATTCAGGGATGTTTAAATCGCTGTGCTGCTCGCTACAGTGCTAGCAGAGCCCGTGTTCTCCATTACGGGCTAATTTAAAGGCTATAATGTGTTCCTAAATGGACACGAATGCTGCACTATTTATTTCACGTATGGACGCCATAGGTAACATCAGCAGTCAGTGTTGGGCGTGTAACTTAACCTTTGCTCAAGCTAGCAAGCTGGACACTTATTGTCTATTGTGGCCTTTTCCAGTGCTGTGAGTGTACTTGGCAGTCTCTCCATTAGTGACCTTTCATAACTCCAGCGCCATGTAAGTTAGGCCTATAATGCCAGGGCGTTATCACATGATGCTATAATTTTCCAGGCAGTGACTCTACACATCTGGCCTGTGTCTTTGATGCATATTCAGTGTCCTTTATTGGCTAGATAGGCTTTCTGTGCGTATGTCACTGAGGAACCAAGTTGGCCTGTGCTTGTTGAACACACATGATGGTGTCAAACATTATTGTCAAGCTTATTGATGACTCAGAACAGGAATTTTCCACATCCATATAGCTAAAAACAGGCATGACTCATCACACCCAATGCCTTTTGAAACAGTGATCCCTCACTCCCACTTGAATATTCCAGACTCCACAACGCCTTCCTTAATCTGTGCTCTTGTCTTCTGCAGCCATGATGGAAGAACTGCACAGCCTGGACCCCCGGCGGCAGGAGCTGCTGGAGGCTCGCTTCACAGGGGTCGGCGTGGCTAAGGTTTGTGTTACGGCAGACGTCACGAGCGTGGAGCGCCCGAGCTCCGTCCTGTCAAAGTGCTCGTCATCGCAGATTTACTCGATTACACATATTTGTGACTCTCCTCCTTTTCTTTGTCTCACTCTGCCTCAGTATCACTCTGCTGTTTGGCCTGGACAAGCTTGGCCCCACTCCTTGTCTTTGTCTGTCTCTGGAGAAGGTTGAGCTGTGTCTGTGTTTTTTGGCTGGTGTGATATGGCATCTCTCCCTGGCTCATGATGTAGTGGCTGTATATGCAAGTGGTGATGCCTGCCAAAAAGGCCACAGACGGGACAGGGGTGGTGGTGGTGGTGGGGAGGAGGAGGAGGAGTGAAGGCAGACGAGGAATGCAGAAATGGTTCTTGACCAGGTGTAAGTGGAGGCAGTATTTAGCCTTCCACCCCCCGTTGCTCGCTACATGGATGGAGCTGTCTTTGTGGAAGGTGATCTTGGAACAGTTAGGGAGCGAGAGTCAGCGCCAGGAGTGGGCCGTGTGCCAGCCATAGGCTGAGCTGAGCCCGGAGCATGGCATGGCTGCTGCCGCAGAGAAAATGGCGGCTCTCACTAAGGCATCATGCCACAACCACCGTGTATGACAAGAGATGCAATGTGTGTAGGGAAAGGAAGCGAGCGAGGGAAGTGTGTCAACAAATGGCTGCGAAGAAATATGGGTTGGTGGTCTAAAAGCTCTTCAATGTCACAGAGTCGCTTGGAGTTTTTTTCTTGACCTTGGACAGCTCTGTGGCACTGCTGCTCGCTCTGTCATCGCTGGGTTGGTATAAAAGAAAGGAAAATTGTTATTCTTTGAGGACAAAGGAGTAGAACACCTTTTGATAATGGAACAGAGAGGGGCTAAAATTGTTGCAAAGTGCATTTTCTTTTTGAACTTACAACGAAGGTGTTTTTCGGTGGTGGTGCTGGAGGGGGGCTGAAAAGGAACTGTCATTCTTAGATCAAGCAAAGCATCTTTTCGCCAGCTTTCTCCCGAGAAGAAAAGAATGGTTAAGACCACGGTGAACAGGAGAAAAATAGATGACATTATCTAAAGGTGACAGACAGAGGGAGGAATACATCCCCAGCAGCATGCCTAATGTTCAGCCATTTTAGGAGGGTTCAGTGAGAGAGCTCTAGTGTGCACTGAATGACTAAGTATCTCTCCCTGATTGGACAGTGCCTGCTGAATTTTGATGTGATTCATTTGATTGACAGGCATCACCTAGGGAACCGGCATTAGGACTGATGCAGGTCCACATTCAGTGGGAAGTTAATGGTGATGGTATTTAGCCAAGCCTCCGCATCCCTTTCCTCATTTTTCTCGCCCATTTCACTGTTTTCCAACTCTTTATGCGCTCTCCCTCACATTGCATCTTCAAAGTGGTGCACGCGTTTCGAAGCTACAATTTCCTATGCACATGTCGCTTGTATCTTTGTGCTTAATTGCTCCCTGCACTTTAAATTGATGTGTTTTTACCCTCATTTTTAACAGGGCTCGGGTCAGAATCAAAATGAGTCATCCAATCAGAGTCTATGCAGTGTGGGCTCGCTCAGTGACAAAGAGCTAGAGGTTAGTCTCTATCATATAAGGATGTTTTCATGACAACCAGCTCTCCCTGTTACCCTATTATACATTTTGCTGATTTGTGCTGCTTTCCCGACAGACTCCAGAGAAAAAGGCGAACGACCAGCGAGCGAGAAAACGCAAAGCAGACCACTTCGACAGCAGCCAAGGTAAGTTTGTTCCTCGGCGAAGATCTTTTCATCTTGAATGCTAAGTATCCTCCCTCTCTCTGAATCTTCCTGTCTCTTTCTTCCAGGCAAAGCAGGAGCAAGGGGACATAAAATTAGCGATTATTTCGAGGTGAGTGGCAGAAAATTGTTCTTCCTTTGTTGTACTGTGCGTATATCCAGCAGAGCTCGTGTCCTATTGGGCGCATAACCTTCCCATACCTACTTTCTAACCCCTTTTGTTAGCCATCATTCCATTGAAACGCTTTCTTCTTCTTTCTTTCTTTCTTTTTCATGTCTGTCAGTTCGCGGGAGGTAGCGGTCCTGGTACCAGCCCTGCCAGGGGAATCCCACCAGTGGTCCGCTCTTCCCCACAACACTCTCTCTCCAACCCCCCTGTCACGGTGAGCATGCTTGCTCTATGGTCACTCTTGTGCTTTTTTAAAAAAAACCAAAACAAATCTTTTAACACTCTCTCTTGCCATTCTCCCTTTCACACTTGTTATTAACACCAGTAGTTTGTTTTTAAGTTTTGAAGAATCTAATGTCTGTAAACACTGCACAGAACGTGTGTTTGTATGTGCCATCATTGGTTGAAGCTCCTCTCAAAGCTGAAACCATCGTAGAGATGGAATATGTTGATAGCGTGGTGCGATTTCTGATGCCGATAACTTACACACTCCCCAAAGCAGTCAAGTAATACTAGAGTAGTGCTTAGATGAACCTGTTGCATGTTCATTTTAGTGTTGGTCTTGTCTTTTGTAAACTAGAGGCTTCAAATCTTTTGTGAAAGTGAACTGAATTACTTAAAAGCCTTGAAATCAATTTAAGAGCTCCTGAAGAGCTTTTTTTTTTTTCCCCCATTGAGAACCTGCCGTTTCTGGTTTTCACAACAGTTTCCTCTTGCCTCATTGATGTCGTGTTTTATCACGCCTGGCAGCTCCGGCTCGTGATAAATTCTTTTAATGTGATGAAGTTCGTACACTAAGACACCCTCCGTGTGCGTAAGACTTTTATTGGATGACTGTTTCTGCCTCCCAGGTGCAGCAGGGAAGCCCCTCCTCCGTCAGCTCGGCCAACACGGAGCACTCCTCGTGTTCGCTGAAGCCCGCCGCTCTTCACATGCTCCACAAAGCCACACAGGTACTTCAGACACTTCCTAGACCCGGCTGCCTGTGTATCTAGCTTAACTCTGTCACAATTTACGTGAGATAGTTTGCATTTAAACGAATAAGTTGCAAAAATCAGAAACTGAAAGACGATGTTGGATGCACTACATTTGTCGGTGATGCAGAATGATCCACCATTAACAAACACTTTTTGTGCTCACTGTACCCTTTAGTCTGACCTTACTATAGAGAAACTAACCGCAATGGAGAACAACAAGAACTCTGACCTGGAGAAGAAGGAGGGCCGAATAGACGATTTGCTACGGGTACTAATCTCATCACATTTCATCCCTGCTGCTCTGCTTGTGCATTTTCACTGGTTTGGAGAAGATGGGTTTTTTCACTCAGTGCATGTCACAGTTGACACATTCCTTCTCTACATGTATAAACAAGTTTCAGATTTAGTTAATTCTCTTCGCCTGACCTTTTTCTCGCACATTTTTTTGTTTTCTGCTCCAGGCAAACTGCGATCTGAGGAGGCAAATCGATGAACAGCAGAGGATGCTGGAGCGATACAAGGAGCGCCTAAATAAGTGTGTGACCATGTCCAAGAAGCTGCTGATTGAAAAGGTATGCAATGTGGTTTATGTTGTGCTTTTTAAAAAAAAAATTGAGCTAGTTTAAGAAGCTGTGATTTATGCTGCATGGAATCTCCTTTCTTTGCTCTTTCGCCAGTCCAAACAGGAGAAGATGGCGTGCCGGGATAAAAGTATGCAGGATAGGCTTCGACTCGGTCACTTCACCACAGTGAGACACGGAGCATCTTTCACCGAGCAGTGGACGGACGGATACGCCTTTCAAAACCTTATCAAGTACGTATCTTCGTGTTTTAACCTTCCACATGTTTGTTGTCTGAGTAGATTCTCAGTTATCGTAGTCCGAGAAGCTTCAGTAAAACCAGCAACTGGAGTTCTCTTTTAGGTTCTTGAAGATGTTTTACTTCTTATCCACTAGGCTTCTTTAGATGTGAAGCACTGAGAACTGAAGCTTTCAAGTTTTAAGTCATAATTTTGGTAGTTCAAGAGTCCAAATCAGGCCAGAAAATCAACACACTTCTCTTTATGATTCAGGTTTTTCTCTTCTATCGACATAAATTACCTTACATAAGTGTATTCTTATAGATTAAGTAAAGCCAGTTCCTCAGCCGGGGAGCTTACAGTAGATTACACTCAAACAAACAGAGAAATTAATTAGATCTATATTTCCCACTAATCTGTCTCCAGACAACAAGAAAGGATCAACTCCCAGCGAGAGGACATCGAGCGGCAGAGGAAGCTGCTGGCCAAACGCAAGCCGCCCTCCATGGCCCAGACTCCACCACCAAGCCTCGAGCAAAACAAACGCAAGAGCAAGGCCAACGGGACAGAAAGCGAAGCGTACGATGCTTCTGTTTGTTCATCTGCTCTTTTATGCCAGTTATTTTTCCCCCCTACGTATGTATTTAAAGTTGGTTCTGTGTTCTCGCAGGTTATCGCAGGCGGAGTATCACGAGCAGGAGGAAATCTTTAAGCTAAGACTAGGTCATCTTAAGAAGGTAAAGCTTGATGTTTTTCTGGCAGGTTTCGGTGCCGCTTTGCTTATTGTGCGCTCCCTTTGTTGGGTTGTTTTGCTAATTGTTGTGTTTTGCAGGAGGAGGCTGAGATCCAGGCAGAGCTGGAGAGGTTGGAGCGAGTGCGGAACCTCCACATACGGGAACTGAAAAGGATCCACAATGAGGACAATTCCCAGTACGAGTTCTTCTTAAACCCTTTTCAGACGTGGGATACATAACATTGCTGGCTTTGTCAAACTGTTGACTTGCCTTCTTTGTGCCATTCATACATGAGTGACTTAATGTTCCTTACTGCTTCATTCAGACACGCCAAATCCATTTAGCTGATGTTAATTCCTGTTCTTGTTTACAATTGGCTTTCTCTTAACATACATATATATTTACATATGTAGTTAAAGACATGCACACAGAGACTTGAAAGAAAGAGAGACGGCAGAACAAGCTGCTGCATAAAAACACTATTTTATGATGCCTTCATTGTAAAATGACTCAAAATGTAAGCTGATGACAGCAGCTCTACTGTGGGATTGGCTAACTTGACATTTTAAAGTTGTGTAAATTGTCACGCTGTACAAAAATCCAAAGCAGCTTCTCTTTGCAGTCAGTTTCAAATGATTGGATTAGGTTGGAGCTTTATAAACATCGCCTCCAAGACTGCGGTGATCGGTAGCCACTATTAAAACATTAAAACATCCTGTTTTAGCACCATAATCTTGTGCGAGCCTTTTCAGCGTGACTGCATTTATTCAGACGTGTTTCATTTTGAAACTGATAAGACAACGTTCCTTGTAATGTTGCCTTTGTAACCAAAAGGCATTGAACAGAAACATTTATTTGTTGTTGGATTAACAGAAAGGTGCACGGAAGTGACTTTATGTATTTGTTAACTTCTGAGTTGCCCCTGTGCTTTAATGATTAAACTTCTCCTCTGTACAGATTCAAAGATCACCCTACGCTAAATGACCGATACCTGCTGCTCCATTTACTCGGACGGGGAGGTTTCAGTGAAGTTTACAAGGTGAGAGAGGCTGAAACACGATGTATGTGTTTTAAGAAATAAGATTCTCTGTTCTTCTTCTGGTGACAATAAACTAAACATGTTTGGGTTGTGGACATTTTTAGGATGACATCTTTGGCTTTAAGCAACTCTGACCAGCATTTTTAAAAAACATTTTTTCCCCATTTCATAGACCAATCAATTAATTAATCAGGCAGAAAAGTGGTCGACATATTATTCGACAATAAAGATTTGTTAGTTGCAGTTTTCAGGGTGATAAGAAAAAAGGTCAGTCAGTCTGCGTGTGACCTTGCTTTCCTCCTGCTTTTCGTCGGAGTTTACACACTGTAATGACATTGTTTCTTATTTTAAATGAATGCAGACCTTGGTCAAAACACTCTGTAGCAATTGTTATTACACTTGTTCTACAGGCTTAAAAATGAGATACAATATCAAGTCCAACATGCCCCGTTTTTCTGCTGCTTTAAAGTGTCTCAGAGATGCGTGGTAAATTCAGGCCAGAGCTTGTGAAAACCAGCTTATTTCATTCTGAAAGCGACCCGAGCAGCGCCTGTGCTGCTTGTCCTTTGCTTACATTACACTAAGTTGACAAGAACATTTTGAAGTGAATGATTATGCCAGAATGGGAGAGTCGTTCCAAGGAGCCGCTGTCATCGCAGTAAAAATAATTAATGAAAACAGCCATTTAAAGCGAAGCAAGAATCTCGCTGCAGCCTGGAAGAAGAAAAAAAAAAAGCAACGCCAAGCTCAGTTTCTAACTAATGGGAGACATTTATTTTCCAGGCCTTTGACTTGACGGAGCAAAGGTATGTTGCAGTCAAAATCCACCAGTTAAACAAGAACTGGAGGGATGAGAAGAAGGAAAATTATCACAAGTGAGTGTCTGGTACAGTGGATTTACTGAGCAGATGCACCTCTTTACTGTTAGTTTCTCATTTAATGTGGATCGTGTAAATGTTTTGTTTTCCAGACATGCGTGCAGAGAATATAGAATCCATAAAGAGCTGGACCACCCACGAATAGTTAAACTCTACGACTACTTTTCACTTGACACTGACTCGTAAGTAATTCTTTCTGAAACAAACCTGCGCCTTTGAAACTATATTATCACGATTTAAATATGTGTCTATTTCTACGTGTAAAGCTTTACTCTGTGGTCTGACTATGTGGTTAAATCCTTCTCCAGGTTCTGCACAGTCTTGGAGTACTGTGAGGGCAACGACTTGGACTTCTACCTGAAACAGCACAAGCTCATGTCAGAGAAGGAGGGCCGCTCCATCATCATGCAGATCGTCAACGCCCTCAAGTACCTCAACGAGATCAGACCGCCCATTATCCACTACGACCTTAAGCCCGGTAAGTCTCCACATCACTACAGATCCCGCATTGTACGAGCTGGCAGGGTCTCGTTTCAGTTTCCTTGGCACGGCTCTGCTTCACATAATAATACTGCCAGTTAAATGAACCACTTGCCTCGCCGCTGCAGCTACTTTAGCCTTGATAGAGTTTTTAAATCTCACTTATGGGCTTGTTACTAACGAGGAGATAAAGGGGTGAAAACACAGTTACGACCGATTGGAGTCTATTAAGCTCAATTGCTGTTTGATGTTTGGCCTGTAATATTGTCTTTGCTCATTTTTCAATTAAACTTTTTTATGAACGCGTTTGTTTTATGCTGCAGAATGGGACTCCAGTGGGGACTGAATAAGACAAAATAAAATCTGAATCTAAACTTTCCCGCTCAGGTAACATCCTCCTGGTGAACGGCACCGCCTGCGGGGAGATCAAGATCACAGACTTCGGCCTGTCGAAGATCATGGACGATGACAGCTACAACTCGGTGGACGGCATGGAGCTGACTTCACAGGGAGCGGGGACATACTGGTGAGATTTGTTTCGGAAGATGACACCCTACACGTGTTAAAACTAAGTCAGTAATTGGAAGCCAACTGTCAGCATTTACAGTGGTTGTATACGTGAAGTAGATTTGAGAGAAGTTTAAGAAAACGGACCCTGTGTTTTAAAGACAGCAGAGTGGGGGATATAACACAGCTGAGCAGGTGTATAGAGAATGGAAATAGAGGATTTGATCAGATTCTACTTGACACTTATCTGGATGATCAGATGGAAATATGATTGCAAGCAAGCTGATTAGCAGGCATTGTTCTTTAATGCTAGCGGGGGAAATACAATCTGATCACTGATGTACATAATATGACATGGATGAGGAAAGGAAAGGAACAGAATATAAATAATATTATGCAGGAGTACAACAGACAAACAACACATGGTAAAAATTCAACTTATTAACACCAGAGTGTTTATGGCCTGTTTGAGCAATTTTTCCTTACAGTGAGCTCATTTTTCACAGCAATATAAAGTCCCGCACTTGTGTGGAAAAAGCCCAACCATAAAGAATGAGAGAGAGCTCAGTGATGTCTTCTGACACAGTTACAATGCTGTAAAACGTAATGTGTCTGTAATCAGTGTTTCACATATGTTGCCAGCTCTGGGAAAATGGCGGCTGTACGTGCTGTACATATTTTACTGCTTATATCTTTACATTCTTCCCACACTTGTCTCTGCAGTCACTCTATCTGCTCGGTGTGAACACAGCCTGCAGTTTAGCCCAATAGTCCCTGAATATTTGTAACATGAGTGTTGATCATAGCTCAGGAAATCATGGCTTCACAGTTGTGCAGAGAGCAGATGATTGTTTTTTTCTTGTTGTTGTTCACAGAATGGAATAAAAAACATGTGGGGAAAAAAAAATTATCAGATTTTCATCAGAACTAAATTGAAAGTCACACATTTATAAGTTGTAATTCTCAGAAACTCACTGCTTTTACCATTTCTTATGATGTTTTTCATTAAAAATTCTAATTATAGTAATAATAACGATAAAGATAACTTTCCTTTTAAACCTGCAGGCAGTTTTTAGGGTTCAGAGAGTTTCTGTTAAGGGACCAGTTAGTGTGATGTGTTTAAAAACATGACCACTGTGCTATTGCTTAACATGTGCAGACAGAAAGCTGGGGGGAAAAAACGATTTGTACAGAAATCTTCATGTCATTCATTCAGAATGCCTCTTGAGATTCCAGACGGCATAATTGGGTTTATTGAAATTATTGCATATTAAAATGGTGTCCGCTGCCCCCTTTAGGTACCTGCCACCTGAGTGCTTTGTGGTTGGGAAGGAGCCGCCCAAAATCTCCAATAAGGTTGACGTCTGGTCCGTGGGAGTCATTTTCTACCAGTGTTTGTATGGCCGCAAGGTAGGAGGCACACACACACGGATCAGAAATGAAACCAGATATTTGAACTGGTGTTGAGTTCTGGAATTATGTTTGTGCTGCAGGAAGTAGAAAATGCAGTTGGGATAATGTCAGACAATTACATTTGTAGCTGTATTTGACAAATGAGGATTTAGATTGTGACTAAGTTTCATGATGTACTGGATATCTACACACTTCATATTTGCTTTATGTCATCTTAATTGGAGTGATCTTTCGGGAGTTGTAACCGTGCGTCTCTTTTACCTCCAGCCCTTCGGCCACAACCAGTCCCAGCAGGACATCCTGCAGGAGAACACCATCCTGAAGGCAACAGATGTTCAGTTTCCCCCCAAACCTGTAGTCACACCTGAAGCTAAGGTACTGGACTGTAACCTCACTGCTTTTGTCTGTGTAGTTTCCACTCCCACGTAATCCTACTGGAGTTTTTGGGGGTGGTTTTTTGCATGTATGTACGAGGGGTGATCAAACAGCTCAGAGTCAGAAATTTGGCCACTATCCCACGTTACAGTAGTGTCCTTGTGCAGCGATACAGCGCTTCTGCAACATCCTAATACACCCTGGAAATCCCGTTATATTAATAATAGCTTAATTTGTACAGCAATTGTGGAAAATAAAGTTACAAAGCAATTAAGCAAATGTCAAATAAGACAAAAAAAATGAAACCGGATTTAAACAATTAAGATTCCAAACTGCAATTGAAACAAGATCAAACAGTGAAGTCAACCATTTTCATGCAGCGCTTTTAAGGCAACAGCCACTGCGTCAAATTGCCGTGCAGTAAAATAAAAGATTAGGATTATGTAAATGTCAATATGTCAAACACCATCTGCGATGAGCGCCGAGTCTCCTGAACTGTGTCAAAACGGTGGCCCTCCAATTTGAATCTCATTTTTGGAAAGTGGAAGAAGTCACAGGGAGACAAACCCGATGAGTAGAAGGTCGGAGAGCAGAAATTGTGCTCTTGTGGCCAAACAAATCCTGTGCCTTTTCGCCACACTGTGAGGTGGCACACAACACGATGGAGCCCACATAGTGTCGAGCCACAGTTCATCACTGGTACCGAATGTTCTCCCTCAGCTGGCCTCCAGACTGACTTCTCCTCTGTTAGCACTGGTAGCACTATTGTCCTCCTCAGTTGGTCGCACCAGCACATGATCTGGTATGAACTGGAGGCTAGCTAGGTGGCACTCAGATAGGTGTGTGACCAACAGTTACATTAAAAATAGTGAATTAAGGCCTTTTAAAGTCAGATTTGCTCAAGCTGAAACCAAGTGATTCTATCTTCATGGACTGTTATTTGTTTATTGGAAGCCAAAATCATGATCGTTGTTAATGCTTGTTTCATTTTTTTTTTTAGCTTTAGCACTGCGTTAGCTGTTATGATTGAACGTAGTGGCCTGCTTGTTCTTCTTCACTGAATTTCTCTGTGTTTGCATGTGCGCTCATATCGTCAGGCGTGTCAGACCTCTCCCTCTCCACCAGCCTCCTCTCTCCCTCTCTCTCTCTCTCTCTCTCTCCACATATTGTTTTTAAAAATAATTAGCTATAGATCATTTCACCATTGGAACACAGTAACAGTGAAATTGATTTTTTTTTCACACAGCAGGCAGTGAAAGACTGACTGACTCAGTGAAGAAGAAAATGTACTACTTTCAAACACAATAGCTATCGTAGAAGCAAGTTGTGCTGACAGGAGTGGCTCCAAATCAGTCTAATGATCTTCACGCACTAAAAAAATTGTCGCATGTGTTGTAGAGTTTTTCTCGAAGTGTCACAGTAGAACTATTCAGTCACACTTTGGGGGTTGAAATCATGTTGCCATGTGAAGGGCTGCAAGGTGAATCGGTGGTTAGCATCGTTGCCTCACAGCAAGAAGGTCGCTGGTTCGCATCCCGGTGAGGACACCCGGGATCTTTCTGCGTGGAGTTTGCATGTTCTCCCCGTACAGCGTGGGTTCTCTCTGGGTTCTCTGGCTTCATCCAACAGTCCAAAAACATGTTGAGGTTAACTGGTGATTCTAAGTTGTCCGTATGTGTGAATGTGAGTGTGCTTGGTTGTCTGTCTCTAAGTGTAGCCCTGTGATAGACTGGTGACCTGTCCAGGGTGTCCCCTGCCTAAGTCAGCTGGGATAGACTCCAGCCCCCCATGACCCTAGTGAGGTTTAAGCGGTGTATAGATAATGGATGGATGGACAACCATGTAAATGTTGCTGGTGCTCCTGACCTGAAGCCCCACGTCCTGTTTTGAAAATTGCAACTCCTCCTGTGAAAACTGCAATTTCTTCTCTTGGTAGTAGCTGCAGACCTGCCGGTCATTACAGCGATAAATCCTCCATGTAAATGTTGGATCATCTCAGCTGCTGAATGATATTTAATGTGACGTTTACTCTCTGCACTGGAGAAAAAAAATCGGGAATGCTTACAAAAATGTGTGCAGCACAGGTCCTGATGCTGATCCTATCAAACGGAAGTTGCTGCTCTCACATGTTGCATGACCACGGTGCGCACCACAAACGGCCACAGAGCTTTTTGATCTCCCTCGTATTTTAAAAATTCTTCTAGTTTTTCCACAACTTTGTAAAAGCTGATTGATGTTTTATATGTTCTTATTCATTCCACTCTCTCATCCTCTCTCCCTCCAGGCCTTTATAAGGCGCTGTCTAGTCTACCGTAAGGAGGACCGCATCGATGTGCACCAGCTGGCCAGTGACCCCTTCCTCATGCCCCACATCCGCAAGTCGGTGGCCTCGTCGGGCTCTTCGGGCATGGCCGTGGCTTCCACATCCAGCTCCTCCAACAGCAGCGCCTCAAACTGAGCCCACACCCCTTAAACTGACTGGCTGGATCATTTGAAAGAGCGGGGTGAGGCGGGGGCGACACCACGCCAGTGTCCCCCCACCTAACAAGCATCCCACCTTCGCCATGAAGAGCCCACTGAGGGGGAAACTGGTCAGATGGCGGCAAGGGGTGGGTGAGAAGTCGTGGACGGGTCGGGAAGGGAGGCCGGCGTCGCCCTCCGTCTCCGTCATGTCCATCCACCCCAGCCCACCTGTCCTGCTTTCTCAAAAAAAAGTGGGTGGCATTGTTCTGGGGGTCAAAGCCCCGGATGACTCACACAGCAAAGGGGGGCGAGTTTTGGCACTGTGTTGGTGAAAAGCGGGGTTCAGTGTTTGGGGGTTTTTCTTTTTTCTGCTTAAAAAAAAAAAGAGAAAATAAAATGAAGTATAGGACTGCTTCAGCTTGGCCGGATGGAAAAGGACTGCGGAAGGCCTCATACCCATTCGCACTCACTCTCACACACACACACACACACACACGCACCCATGCATGAGCCGTTCTGGTCCGAGGTAGTCTGAAACCCCCCCTCAAAGCTCAAACATTTTGTTTGTTCTCATCTCCCTGAACCTAACTGAGACAACCAGTCTGGGCTGTTGTTGTATTGAACCCTAAATATCTTACGGCACTCTGTCATCCAACCCGCTGTTCTGGGAACCTTTGCCTCGCTTAAATTCCAGACCCAGATAGTTTGTGACGAGGAAGGACAGAAGTTTCTGTCTCGTCTCCCCTTCCCCTCCCAGATCCTCGTCAAACTCCTGTGACCAAAGCTTAGAACTTCCAGCTGGTGGCAGTGTTCCACCTCCGTTTTTATAATGAATGGTTTTAGAGTTGTGCTACTTGACATGGAGTGGAAGCTGTTGAGGAATGACCCCTTTTACATTTTTTTAAGAAAAAAACTTTTCAATTTAACCAGTTTTATGGAGGAAACTGTCGTGTTTTCAAGTTGCCTTTAATTAGAACTGTTCTTGTTTTTTGATTGAGCCCCTTACCATAAACACACATATTTATTTAGGTATGTTTGAATTTATTTTTGGCCAATAAAATGCAAGGGACTGGTTTACCTAATAGTACTGTTGGGGGAGATTGGGCCTTAGCAGAAAGTTGCATAAACCATTAAATACTATTGGTTAAAATGTGTTTGTTGTCGTGGACTTCTGTGTGACTGGGTCTCCCATCATGACTTGATTTGAAGGATTTCTTTGCATTTAGGAACTCGTGACCATCGTGTGTACCAAAGGTTTATCATTTCTCAGGTTGTGATTGGTTCTACAGTCTCTAATTACAATTAATACACTGGAGAGAACTTTCAATCAGAATTTGGGTGTATTTTTTGATAGGAGGAGTAAACAAGCTGTTCATGTCCAGGAAGTGTAAACCTAAACTCTAATGTCTCATTGGCTGTGACTTTGCAAATCAGTAAACTATTAGTGCAGCAGTCAAATTGACAAAACTGCTTTCTTTTAATTACCACACTTTTTTTTAATACTAACTTTATTTCAAAAGCCACCTTTAACTGGATTCTTGCTCACCACCTTACTAAGATCCCAATGTTAATTTTACATTTAATTCATCACTCGTCTTCGTCACTGAAAGTGTTTTTTGATGTTTAGACGCTTGAGCAAAATCTGTTTATTGCATTGTTTAAAAATGGATGTAAGAAATCAGTTATTCCTAACGATCAATCCCATCCCCAAAGGACTATTAACCACTAAATATTAAGAATGTTTAGAGGGTTAGATGGCAAAATAGACAAACAGATCATTTATAGTCCTGCTGGGAAACTTGTCAGAAACATGATGTTCTTAAATCATACAACAATCCATGCAAAAAGAAGAGTTGTTGGTTAATGTGAAGGCTACAGCATCATGAGTCTGTCCTGATACATACAAGAATATTATGGGACTTTAAATTCAATGATTGCAGGCATGAGTCAGCCATAATTAACTTTTTGACATGCAGTTTTTAATACGGTTTGAACAACAGAGCAGATGTTGTGTAGATGTCCATTAATAAAGCACATAGAGGAGAACAGACCTGATGAGTTACGAATACAAGGTGAGAAACAAATGCACTGGAAAGATCAGAGAGCTTGTGTGTGGTCGGATAGATCGGTGCTAAAGACAGTAGATGGATGCATCTAGTGTACAACACAAGTGAGTAGACTCCTGTGCAATATTTAAATATGAAATGATTTTAGTTTTTCTCAGTAATTCATATGTGAACTTTTTATTGAAACTCAATCAGATGCTCTGCCATGTTTCATTTTGTTGAAGCTGTTCTTTTATGGAGAACCTGGATTCCGGTGAAGCGACGCCCTCGGACAGATTAAAGCTTTTACTTTGTTGTCTTGCGTGGTAACTTTTTCTTCTGGAGAAACTTATCTGATGTGAGCAATGTGCTCTGGATGGTTATCGTGTTGGAACATTCCTCTTCTTTAAGCTTCTGCAGACTGGGAGTCATCTTGTCGGCCAGTATTTTGGTTTATCCACAGATATTCATGGTGCATCGGTAAATATCATCTCCACAACACCTTTTGCACTCACGCAGCCCCACATCATGACACTCCCACCTCTGTTCTTCACTGTCAGGACTATGCGTTCGCTGTGGTCGTCCTGATCAGGTTCACACCAAACATGCTGGACTGAGCCCAAAAAATGTATCTTGGTCTCATCTGACCAATAGAAGGTGCTCCTTGTATTCATCTGGCTTCTTTTTGTCTTGGATGCCCCCCATAAAGGTTATTATTATGAAGTTTCTCACACTTGGAGCTGTCGCAGAAGCACCAGTTTCCACTGATAACCCTTGTGCTAAGTCCGCTTGTCTGTTTTTCATAGCTGGACTGTGAGCATAGTTCACCATCTGTGGAGTCATTTTAGGAGGACGACCACTGCAGATCTGATTAGTGGCACTATGGCTCCTTCTAAACCTCCTGATTACTGCTGCTTCCACTGATTTTGATTTAGTAGTCGATCTATCCTTTTTCGTCTTTGTGAAGTCTCACTATCAGATTTTTTTTTAAAATTCTTAGGGCATTTTTCCCCCCTCCATGTGGCGCCGTGCAGATTGATGCAGCCCATAGGTCCAAAACTAAGAAAGGGTTGAATTTACTGTTGTTGCATTGAGTTTCTAATTTGGGGCCTGAATTTTCAATTTTCTGAAGTGTCTGGTTTTTATTGTTAACCCTTTGTGGGACAAGTGACCATATTGTCCTTGGACGTTCAATATGTACCCTGTGGCTCTCCTGGAGGTTGAAGAACCACGTGCACTTTGATTTAGTTTTTATATTAGTGCCAATATCACTACCTTACGAAGAATGTTCCAGGCGCTTTTTAAACTCTTTGTTACTGGTTTGCATTGAACTCCACTTTGATTTATTTTTTCAGATTAGTGCCATTAATACCACTACATTAAGAAAAATGTTACTAAATGAACATGGCAGGTACTTTACAAATAGTTTGTTACTGATTGTGTAAGTATCATTAAATCAAACAATTTTTTTTTTTTAAAAATCATATAACTTATATGTATAAGCTACTATATATGGTAATTTTATTCATCTTGGTTTTCAACTTTTTTTTAAATCACAAAGTAAAACTATCTTGAAATATCCTTCAATAACACCCAAGGGTTTAACTTTTCATTCTCCAAGTATTTTAAGGAGTTCCCTGTAAAGGGTTAATAAGAAAAAGAAAAAAAAAACTTGCCACCTTAGAAACAAAATGCAGTTATTGAGAGGTGACATCATTTTGGATCATTTGATATTTAGATGATATTTCACAGAGGTTTGCTGGCTTTTTCCTCCCCATACTGCACTTTTTAAGCAATTACTATTTTATTGTTTTCACTTTTTTGGCAGCTCGCATCACAAAAAGCCATTTTCCACTCAAATATATGACTCATATGTGCGTTTTTCTGCTGTCGTGCCACTAACAGACGCCTGCAGGTCCCCGGACCTTATTTTGGACACCATGCAAACACACGCGCTGTTGACGCGGCTCCATTCATCGGAGTCTCCTCTGACTGGGAGGCAGACGGAGCTCTAGCGGTCAAACTCGCCTCTAACTCTGCATCATCCGTCCTCAGAGGAACACAACTCGAGCATTTGCTGCTCCGGCTTCACTTTTTTTTTTTTCTCTCCTCGTTTGGAGGGTTTTTTTTTTTTTTTCTGGGTCCTGCTGTTTGCAGCGTGTGCTTGCGTGTGTTGTGGCTGCGAGCATGCAAAGCAACGAGCGTAACCGAAACAAGGAATCAGCGGCGACATGGACAAACCGGCAACTTACACTTTACAAATGCACTTTATATTTATTCATCTTTAGTCTGGAACTGAAGAGGAGCGTTACGGGTGAGCAAACAAAAAAAGAGAGAGAAAAATTTCCACTCTCGCTTGATCTCATTCAAGTCTGGAAAAGAAGCGGCCAGACACTGAACCTTTTGTGCACGCTTTGGTGTTTTTTGGTCAGGACTTTTTCCACGCTGCAAAATGCGTAAAAACGCTGCGCATTGTGGATTTGGTGCTTTGGTATGCCACGAACCAAAAGTCCGAGCTCTGAGTGGAACCAGATGTGGAGAGAACCGGGGAGGAGGAGGAGGAGGGGAGAGTAGACAGGCTTTGGTTCTGTATCGGGGACTTTTAATCAATGCGTAAAGTTGATCCAAAGGCGCACAGAAATGCACTTTATTTGGGGAGGGTATTTTGTGGTGTGTTTTTGCGCCGGATGGGTCTTTTAGGCTGCCATTGTAAAACGCTTGGTTTGGCACCCTGCGGGCAGATGTGACCTTTGCATCCTGTTACAGGCTGCAATTAACACATTCAGTCCGGTCCGAGCAGCTTCTGCACCACCAGGCTGCACGGAATACATCCGAACACTGTTTTCCAGCAAATATTACGCATATTTTTAAATACTGATTACATCATATTTTTTGGTTGCTTCATGGCCACATCATTCAGTTTTTCCAGTGTTTTTGCCTACAAACGGACAGTTTCCAGCTTCATATTCTGTCCTGCCAGTGACTTCACTACTGTAAATACTAAAAGAAATCTGGATTACCATGTCTGCATGTGAAAATGAAGTAGCTGCAGTAAAGAAAACTATATGTTCTTATAAGTTTGATCAGATATTGGTGTAACTAAAAAGGTTTAAAGTGCCACATGGGTTTTTCTGGCATCACCTATACTGTTATTTAATGCATTCATTTACAATTTCTTCCCTAAACTTTCAAAGCCTTCATTCTCTCTTTGCTCTCTCCTTCCTAAGAAAATACTGTTAACATCACAAACAATCCAGAGCTGTTTTTGGTGAGGCTTAAAGTACCTGTACTGATATTTAATACATGCCTTTACAAGTTTTTGTTGTTGTTGTTGGATTTAAATACTGACAATACTTGTCTCTACAATCTCAATCCTAAGAATGTCCTCTTAGATAAACATCCTAAACAACCTGGAGCTCTTTTTTTGAACTTTTAGTTCCGTACATACTGCGATTTAATACATTAATTCACTACTTTTAGCAAAACAAATGTTAAAATATTGGCAACATATGAGTCTACACTCTATTTGCAATCTTTTCCTGAGAATACACTACAAGATGCACATCTTAAATAATCCTGGAGCTTAGTTTTGGTGAGGCTTATACTACAGATATTCCTATTTACTACATTTTTTTGCAATTTTTTTGACATTATGTTGGTCTACTCTTTCTATTTTCTCTCTTTTTCTAAGCACATACTGTTAGACAGAATCTTAAATGATCTAGTTTAGTACAAACTGCTATTTAATACACGAATTTACCATTTTTTCATAGAATTTTAGCATAAAATTGCTAAGTTATTGGCATTATATAGGTCTGTACTCTCTTTCCTAACACTATTCTGCTAGATACATATTCTAAACAATCTGGAGCTTTTATTTTGGTGAGGTTTAATTTAGCACATGCTACTATTCAATACACAAATTTGCCATTTTTGAATCTGAATTACATTTTCTAGGCAATCTGGAGCTCTTTGGTGAAGCTTATAGTACTGATAGACCTATTTAATATATCTTCTACTATGTTTTATGTAAAAAGTAACTCCATTTGGACTCTTATTCTTACAATATACTGCTAAACACACATCCTAAACACTCTGGAGCTCTTTTTGTTGAGTCTAATAGCACCTATACTGCTATTTAATACTTTCATTTACCATTTACTTTCAAAAGTTTGACTAAAACACTGACACCATGTGCGTCTACAGTCTCTGTTTGCACTCCCTTTCCTTAGAATATACTGCTAAATACACATCCTAAATAATCTGGAGCTCTCTTAGGCGAGGCTTAGTTTCTTAATTTTGAAATGACTTGCATCCATCTGCCATCAAATTCTCCCGTCTCCGAAGCTGAGAATCCCTTGTCAATCACTTTTCGACCGAAACGCACAAGATATGGAGAGATACAAGGGTCGGTTTTGTTTTGTGAAACGCTTTGGATTTGTTATGCGAGTTCTTGTGTAATTGTCAGCCACCAGAGTCTGTCTTTGATCTGATCAGCATGTCGTCACGAGCTTCCACGAACTCTGTCTTAAGAACTCGGGGGTTTGTTTCGTCCTTTAATATTCGCCGTCAACAAAGGAGGGAAGATTAGCCGCGACATTAATGATATCCAGAGTGATTTAGCTTTTGTTGTTTATAAGAGGCGGAACTGCAACACAACGGTTTAGTCGGGCATGTGGGTTTTTCCAAATAAGTTTCCATTCATCATCGGTGCAGTGAGCACGGAGCCGCAGATCTCACACAATGACAAAAAAAAAAAAAAAAGCAATTCTAACAATGCAAATTCTCCTTTAACAACAGCACTAGACATACCTCTCATCTCCCTCCCTGTGATTTAACAGTTAAACCTACACTGCAATAAACTGTTATCCCCATTGTGCTGTGCAAAAAAGTGTGGGAGGGATGGAAAGTTTCAACAGTGTGCACTTATTTCTCACTCTGGTTTCTAAATTTGATGCACACTTTCCCAGAGGTTCCAGTTGGCTGTGTTTCTGAGTGTGGCTGCAAAATGCAAATATGCTCTTTTCCTCCTCTCCGATGCCTCACGGCTGAGGTGAAACCTATCCACGGCTTGGGTTGCTTCAGAGGCCAGACCACCATAAAACAGCAGCGAAACAAACACAGCAGCCTGGAATTTCCTGCCTATTTGTTGGTCGCCGTTTCTTTTTTTTTTTTTTTATCACGCTGACCAGTTAAAGGTCTGTTTTGTTGCTTTTATCCCAGACATCTGTCAAAATAAGGTTACGGGAAAAATCTTTCGCTCATCAGTTTAGATCTTGGAGTAAAAAACAAAATGACAGCAGCAGTGAGTCACGATTCATGCAAACAGTGTGGAAGTTTGTGTCTCAAGCCGAGACTCGCTCCCACATCTCCAAGCTTTTGTCCTCAGACCTGGTCCAACAGATGACCGAGTTGAGGAGGTGGAGGTTCTGGGAATGTCGGCCTCTCTTGGCGAGCGTCGCCGGCTGTTCTTGGCCGCGGGTTTCAGCCTCGCTCTTTAGTAGGAAACTGTCTTCAGCGCTGAAAAAAGGGGGTGACAGGGCAAAGAAGAGGATGAGATCACAGCAGGAGAGCTGTTGTGGCTTAGCTTTCACAGAGCTCAATGGCTTAAAGTTAATCTGGAATTCTGCACTCTCTCTGATTGCCCGCTAGTTTTCTCACATCAAACATCCAGTCGTGTCCCCTCCAGACTGGAATTAAAACTTCTATTTGAATTTACTTCTTGCTGTCTGGGACTTCAGCTTCAGGTTGTCTAGCAGTTCAAAAGCTTTTGCCAGGAACGTCTCATATTGTCACCGTATTAATGCCGAGCTTAGAGTCGCACAGTGAAGTGAATTCAACGCAGTGTAAGGCTGATTTTTTTTTTTTTACTGGGAGGGTTCCTGTGTGAAAATCTTCCCACAGGCACCGTGGAAGTTGATCTATTTTTTTTTTTAAGTGGCTTTAAGTCCCATTGTGGAAATGACAAAATAGCATCAGAATGATTTGTTGGCAATTACGCCTGACTTTGTTAACAAGTCAGCATTGTGTAGCTTTAGCTGTTCAAGTGTCCTTATGGTGGAGTGTAACTAAATCTGAAGCCAAGACTGTGGAGATGAATTACAGCAGAACTGAGAATTAGTCTATAATGGAGGGTTTTATATGAGCTGCAAGGATTAGGTGATTAACCAGTTTGTCGGTTTTAAGCAAAAATTGTCAAGTTTTACTGGATCTATCTTTAAAAATGAGACTGTTTGGTGGTTTGTATTCTAAGACAGACATGGTGAGAGCTACAGGGGAACCATATACAGTTGTGAGTCGATTATCCGACACTAAATGTAAAACCTGCTTTTAGGTCGGATAGCAAGGCTGTCGGATTGTCAAGACGGAGGTGGAGCTACAAGGAGGGCTTGATGCTTGAGGGCTCATTAGTTGTTAATATTTATTGTTTATAGTTATTATAATAACTAGTGTGTTGTTAGAACACTACGCATCGCTGGATTTCACGCCTAATTGACCGGTGCAACTGTGCACGTTCCGGACGCTTCCACCCCGGGGGTGCGCTCCCATGGGGTAGAAGTGGCCGGAACGCACATGCCAGTTTAGTTAGCGGTCACAGTTCTGTTTCCACCATCTGTGGCGGCGGCGGCAGGGTAATGGTGGATACGCTCCACCGCTACCATCCATGTTTACTTCTGTAAACACTGAGCACGCTCACTGTGTGTGACGTCGTCGTGTCCTCTTCTGCACATGCAGGACACTTTTGGGTCGTATGAAGTTCACACAGCAGATCACATACAAGTCGTATTTAACTGGAAATGTGAACGAACTCACAAAAAAATCGGATTTCACAAAAAAAATCTGAATTGAGCATTAAATCCTGCAGTGTGAACGTAGCCAATCTGTNGTTTTAAGCAAAAATTGTCAAGTTTTACTGGATTTATCTTTGAAAATGAGACTGTTTGGTGGTTTGTATTCTAAGACAGACATGGTGAGAACTACAGGGGAAGCATGTACAGTCATGACTCGATAATCCGACACTAAATGTAAAACTTTCTTTTAGGTCGGATAGCAAGGCTGTCGGATTGTCAAGACGGAGGTCGAGATACAAGGAGGGCTTGATGCTGGAAGGCTCATTAGTTGTTAATATTTATTGTTTACAGTTATTATAATAACTAGTGTTTTGTTAGAACACTACGCATCGCTGGATTTCACGCCTAATTGACCGGTGCAACTGTGCATGTTCCGGATGCTTCCACCCTGGGGGTGCGCTCCGACGGGGTAGAAGTGGCCGGAACACACATGCCAGTTTAGTTAGCGGTCATAGTTCTGTTTCCACCATCGGTGGCGGTGGCAGCTGGGTAATGGCGGATGCGCTCCACCGTTACCATCCATGTTTACTTCTGTAAACACTGAGCATGCTCGCTGTGTGTGACGTCGTCGTGTCCTCTTCTGCGCATGCGGAACACTTTTGGGTCGTATGAAGTTCACACAGCAGATCACATACAAGTCGTATTTAATGGGAAATGTGAACGAACTCACAAAAAAATCAGATTTCAAAAAAAAATCTGAATTGAGCATCAAGTCCTGCAGTCTGAATGTAGCCAATCTGTGGATTGTTCAGTCAGATAATACGCTGTTATCCTGATTTGTGACATAAAATGTCATGTTGGAGTCAGAATCCAAGGCTGTCGGTATGTTAAGGCTGTTTTCTATCGGTTCCGTTTGTTTTTCCTAAAAGCTTGTCAGATAGCAAGGTTTTCAGATTGTTAAGGGTCAGATTATCGAGTCACGACTGTACTTACAGTATACAACAGCAGCAAGTACATCCTTTTCAAATGTGTCACCTCTCAATAATTGCATTGCAAATTCAGGCCCAGAAGTAGAAGCTCGATGCAACAAAAGTGAATACACCTGTGGTCACTGACACACGAGTTTGAAAACCTGTAATAATGGAAATGAAACTGAGTATTTTCAGTTAGTCTAATTGTGAGAACATGGAAATGAAATGAGCAGTTTTATACCTATGGGTTGTGTCTGTCTGCATGTCCTCATCATGGCTCCATATGGAGAAGAACCGCCAGAAGAGATGAGAAATCTGATTGTGAAACTACACAAAGATGAAAAAAAGGATAACTGGAAGATTAACCGAAAATCAGTGAAACACAAATCAGTGTTAGAGCCGTAAGAAGAAGCTTTATTGTCATCGTACAAGAAATACAACGAAATTTCGTTTGGCATCATCTTTGCAGCAGCTAATATGTATAAATAATAAAATAGCAATAACATATGAACTAAATACTCGATTGAAAGTGCAAAAGAGCATTTATTAGAATGATTAAATGAATAAAATGAGTAATCAGGAGGTTTAGAAGGAGCCATAGTACCACTAATCCCAGCTGCAGTGGTCGTCCTCCTGACATGACTCCACAGTGAACTGCTTTCACATTCTAGCTTTGAAAAACAGAAGGCAGCTGCTTCAGCATTGTCACAGAGGTTGTGAATGAAAATTAGAATTTTGTGACAGTGGAGACAGTGTGAATAAACAGTTCATAATAATAACCTTTATGGAGATGTAAAACCCTCTCTTGTTTAAGGTGAAACTTGAAACGAAGCCTGCTGAATGTTGGGAGCACATTCTTTGGTCAGCTGGGACCAAGATAAATTTGTTCAGCTCAGATGGAGTCCAGCATGTTTGGTGTGAACTTAACCAGGACTACCACAGTGAATGCACAGTCCTGAGAGTGAAGCACGGAGGTGGGAGTGAGATGATATGAGGCTGCATGAGTGTAAAAGGTGTTGTGGAGATGGCATTTATAGATGCACCATGAATGTTAGTGGATAAACTTAAAGAAGAAAAACAAATCTGCATCTCTGTCATCAATGATCATGCATGAAATTAGGCTGTTATTGATCTATGATTAATGCCTGAGGGTGATTCATCAATGGAGGTAAAGATGCCAATATTTGTGCTGTTTTTTTTATTTTTTTGTATCGTCGTGAAGCCTGGTGGTGCAATATCTCAATCCTTTCTTTCTTTAGGTCAGAGATCTATGAAAAAAACTCACTTCTTCCTCATTATTTTTATTCATGTCAGTCTTTATTCAGAATAATGATAAATGAAAGCTAAATGAAGTACTTTATAGATGTTCTATCTGTTGTTTCGATCACGAAAAACTGTTCTGGTTTTGGATTGTTGGACAAGTCGAATCAGTCAGCTTGAACTTTGTGGGACTGTAATGGAAATTTCCACAGTTTTCTAAACTAACGTGACTAACCAGAAGATTAACTGATCATTTGCTCAGCTTGTTAGTTAACTGCTTGCAGGTGAGGAAAACCTGGGAAAGCCTCGATCTGATGATGTATTTTTGCGGTTTAACGTTCAATGGATCCAGCAGACAGTGATTTTCCACAGAAACAGGTCTTTGCTTGCATTTTTTAGACTTCATCCAGCTCTGGATTATGTTGCATTAATAGGAGCGACTAGAATAACAGTCACATGGAAAGATAGCTTTGCCTCCGAAGCAGCTCAGAGGCTTTTTTTTTTTTTTGTTAACCGAACCAGTGTTTGGATGCAGAATACATCCAAACACTGATAAGATTTAAAGGTTCTTGTGCCTCTAATTTGAAGCTCTCATGATTGAAACAATGAACTGGCAGTAAACAAGCCTATCATCTGGGTGTTGCTGGGGATGGAGGAGCAGGGTGGATGATTGTATCTGATTACACTCTTACAGAGCACTTTCAAACTCTCGCTGAACTGCTCCGCCGCCGATCTCCGACCGTTTGCTTCCCATCGAATGAGCGAGCGCTGCTTCTGAGAAACTCGACCACAGCGGAGAGGGGCGTGTCGTCCAGATTACAGGGGTTTTTATGGAGCTCTTGATGAAACTCCATTGTCTCTGTGTGCATAAAAAGCAGCGCAGGAGGTTTGAAGTGTCGTAGCTTAGGGGGGGCGGTAGGAAACCAGGGATTTAAGCGAACCGTTACCCATATATGAAGGTCCTGTTTTTCAAGTGAATGCCCAGTGATCCTTTCCAACCACCCTACTTCCTGGCCTCTCGCAGGAGCCTGCCGAGTAGGAATGCTGAGGGTCTCACTTTCTCTCTGAGATCTCTGTTTATCCTGGCGATTTTTTTATTTTACATAGTTTTAATTTAGAGTCACTCCTACACTTTTGTCTTTTTCTTTCTCCCACCTTAACACACATTCGGCGTTGCATTCACAGTCTTGTTTGCTGATCTCTAAAACCTTCAAGAAAGAATAGAAAAGAAAAACAGGGGAAAAAAAATGAAAACCACACTTTTTTTTCTTTTCTTTTTTTGGAAAAGGGGTGTCGGGTTGTGTTCCCGAAACACGAGTCACTGAGGCTGGCCTGCAGCCATACTGGATGTGTTAAACTCAACACATATTTAACTTTATTTTTTTGTTCACGTGTTCTTTATTTTAGATATTGGAGATGTGTATGTGGATACTGTGAGGCTCTGTGGGCGAAATGGCTCCTCGGGGAGATCTAATAGTTTGTAATGTCAATACAGACATCAGACTGGAAACACTGACCTATTTCATCCTTGAGGACAATTACTCTTTCATCAAAGAAATCAAATTCAGACCTGCTGGAGAAAGCCTTTGCATGAGTCCGATGTGAACCTACCGTTTCTGTTGATCCCTGTGTATTTATAAGGTAAGATAGGATGAGCCTTTGTTAATCCCACATCAGGGAAGTTTGCAGTAGCAAAGAGGAATGTGCAAAAAAATGTCAGAAGAAAATAAAAACTAAACAAAAATATACATAAATGCTGTGTATACTGCACAGATTCTTACATATGTAGAAATTCTGATCTTACAGAGATTTATCTGAAAGTGAAAGTGGAAAATATCGACATTTTTTAAACCCAAGTTAAAAAAAAAAAAAAAAACTTGCTGCAATTACATTTTGTTTTTGTTGATGTAGCTTTTAAGGAATCAATTTCTGAGCTGAAAGCCAAAACAGCACAAATCTAAATTACAAATAAAGATGAAAAGTCCTCTCAAACCGAGCAGAGACTTTGGGATTCTAATCCACTAGTTGGTTAATTTAAGGGGTATAAAGGTCAAATTTCACTGCTGAATATGAGCTGCCATTAGCTACATGCAGCAGTACAACATGTTGTAATGACTGTATTAGCAGGTGTAGCCTAAACTCTGTATAAGAAGCAAATATTGGTTATATTGCAATTGAAAATATTCCCACATTTATTTTCTATTTGTAAGAAATAATGGTACTCACCTTGTTCAGCCCACAGGTTCTCTAATGCACAATCTTAAATGTCTGACATTGTCGATGTATGTTCAGTAAGGAAGCTCAAAGTGAAGAGAAATGAAGTTATCAAGCCAATTTTATTAAGTTATGTCAACTTGAATTGTGTTAAAATGTGAGTTTAAATTACACACAATATTGAGTTGGTGCAATTACCAATATTATTATGTCAACACATCAAAATAATGTTTGCAAAATGGAATGTGTGTCGAAATCAGCAAATTCTAATTTTATCTTGCAATTATGCATTTAATTAAGTTGTGGGAATACGTCCCTTGAAATACTTTTCACACCCCAAACTGTAGGGAACAAGGTGAAAAGCAATCCCAGGCTGAACTGTGGGAAATTCCTGACACCTGGGGGATGTGAGATCCTTTAACCTGTCATTAAAAACACGTGCAGCCACTTTTCCCAGTTTATTGCCTGTCATTCCTGCAATTACCTCTCTTTGAGAACTCCGCCGTGTAATGTTTCCGCAGGATTTTCGGTTTATTTTTGGATTATTAGAGGATTAATGCGGCTGCAGCACGTTACACTGGGACATGGGCTCAAACTAAGCCAGCTGGGCATCCATTAATGGAGATATTGATGTGACCCCTTCTGTTACTGCTCACATGAAATTCTGTTTTCATCAGCGTTATTGATCGCTGCCGTTGTTTTGCCCTCTCTGCACAGCGCCGCTGGAGTCGGACGACTTTGCTTTCTTCCTGGAGGGCGCCGACGGCTGCCTGGGGGTGCGGGATCACTCCCTCGTCCTGTCGTCCTCCTGCCAGGAAGCCAACCAGCGCTGGAAGTGGGTGACCCGAGGCCGCCTCTTCAACCTGGGCTCCTCGTCCTGCCTGGGCATCACCACCGGGAACTCCACCTTCGGATGGGACAAGTCTCCGTTCGGCGTGTACACCTGCGATCGCGAGCCGCCCAGAGTGCGCTGGACCTGGAGCTGCGGCCAGGTGCTGGACAACCTCAACAACTACTTTTCGCCGTCGTTGTTTTGGAACACCTCCGTAACCTCGTCGCCTTCTAAGTTCAAATGGATGCTACATGGTGGTGTGCAAGACCTGTGCTCCAAAACATATCAAGGTAGGCGGAGTTGGAATCAAACCAATCTTTTCTTTACTTTGGGGGTCAGTCTTCATCTGTGTTCGTGCAAAACTAAAAACTATTTTAACCCCTAAAAACCCATCTCTCATTGGTGGCTGTCAACATGTTTATCTCTACTGTAAAGTTGAAAGCTGAAGTCTACCACGTCCTAAATTATGCCTAACTTTAATCCTTAGTATAATTTAAACAGATGAGTTATATCAACATTTATCCCCTGTGCAGTTGTCACCAATGTAAAAAGTAGCTATAGATACCAACACTGTTTTTGTTTCAGGCTGTAAATATGTTTATTTCTGCTGTAAAGTTGGGCATTTTAACATGGACGTCTATGGGGACTGACTTGCTTTAGGAGACAGCACCAAGTGGACATTTGAGGAACTGCAGTTGTGGCACTTGTGTGTCGGATACCCCTTGCTTGTAAATAACTCAAAATGTTTGGCCAAAGTAGCCCAAACCCACACTTTTAATTATTTCTTAATTGATTGGACTTAAGTTTTGCTAAGTCCTGGCTCTAATTTGCTTTAATTTTTTAAAAATCTTTTATTCTTTTAAGTCATTTGGATTGAGGATCACAAACTGTCTCTGTTCTACACAGTTAGATTTAATCAGCATACAGGGATTTTTGAGTTATTAGTTTAAAATGATGCTTCAGTTTCAAGTTGGAAATGCTTTGCCACAGTGTTGACTGTTGATTTCCCTCATAGCATGTGTTCTTGCATTTAAAAACCCTGTACAGACTTGTTCACAAGTTAAAATGACAGTTAATTTTCACTTGAAGAGGTTAAAACCGCTCATTCTGAGCAACATGGAAATGAAACAATGCAATGAATAATCGCTGAAAAATATGTCTAAACTAACACACAAACCTGGTTTTCTACATGAGTTGGTCATAAAATGGGATCTGATCTTCATCTAAGTCACACAAACACTCATATAGCTGTTAAATTCTATGTCTTTATTGAACATATCTACAATAAACCTTCACAATGCTGGTGGAAAAAGTAACTGAGCCTCCTTGAAAGTCAAGTAAAAACACATTTATTTAAATGGAGCTGAACTAAAGTGCCATACAATTACAAGCAAGTCATAAGACAGTGAAGCATGACAAAAAAAGATGCAACACAATAGGGGATGAAATTGGAGTGTCCTCTGGCAGAAGTAACCTAAAAAAGTAGCTGTAGATCAGGACGATTTCTTTACCGTTAATCTGTACAAAACTGCTTGATCTCGTTCGTATTTTTAGTTGTCTTGTGCAAATTGCCCTCTTAGGGTTATTCCACTGTGTTTCGTTTGGGTTAACATCTGGGTTCTGACTGTGCTGCTCCAAAATCGTCTTTGTTTCTTTGAGTCATTCTGTGGCGGAGTGATGTTTTTGTTGCATCACCTACTGAGCTTCAGCTGCTGCCGCCACCCTGACATTTCTTTGTAAGATAGTGCAGATACCGGTTCATTAAGGAGAGATAAAGAACAAAATTCATTTCAGAAACACAAGCATGCTGAATACAAGTGTTTAGACAGTAGGGGAAAAAAGCAGTCTATTAAATTTGAAGGTTTTGAACCTGCGTTTTCTGGCAGGAATGAAGGAATCGAGTTTTTAGGTCCAGATGTTTTTCCCTGAAAGTCAGCTGGCAGTCTCAGTACAAGCTTTCCATGGAAAAGCAGATTAGAGACCTCCAGTGAAGAATTAAACATGAAGTAATAGCTACCAACAGAGCTATTAGATGCTAGATGCAAACCTGAGGGAGGAGCGTTTGTTTTGTTCTTAGTTTGAGACCCCACATCATCGATTTGTTCGCTGTCCTCAGCTGTCAGCCCTCTTTGACGTTATAAAAAGATGGTTTCAGGGTCTTTTTGCACAATATTTTCTCTCAAAAACTATGCAAAAAGAAACCTGTGCATACAAACTAAATGTCTCATGTGGTTCTGCTGGTGCGCAGCTGGTTCTGGAGGGACTGGTGGAGCTCTCCTGTTATCAGATGGTGGATAATGTGCAGGCCTTCGGTCACAGATGGATTGTCGGGGGTCTTTTATGTTCTGTGATCTCTGCTTCTCTGCAATGGTTCATTAAAGGGAATTTTTACAAGCGTAGAACAGAGTCCCAGATGAAGATAAAGACTGGACCTCCTGGAGCCTAGACGCTGCTGGTGGTGGTGTTGGAATAAAGTCAGCAGATGCTTGACTAAAACCAAGATCACTGCCACGACTGACAGAATAAAAGTGACAAATTGCAATGAATTTACAGAACAGGGTCTAGGAGCATATTTTCTCACGAAACGATGCCATAGTGGTGAAAAGAAAAGAGTAGTGAAAGTGATTAATTTTGGTGGAGACAAAACAGAAGTGATGATGAGAGCAACAGGAATAGAAACAGAATGTGTGTAAACAGATGTTCCTTATTGGACTTATGCATAAACTTCAGAAGAATTCATTTTACCCATTGAAATAAAAATCACAAATTCCAAGTTGTCTGAGATTTTAGCCTTAATACAGTTTGAACAGGTGAGTTATACAGAAATTCGCATCCTGTACAGTTGTCATGGATGCGGAATTTATCTCCGAATACCAACAATGACTTTTGTACCAGGCTGTTAACATATTTTTTCCTGCTGTAAAGTTGTGCTTTTTTTTAAATGGAAGTCTATGAGGATTGACCCAATTTTGGAGACAGCCTCAAGTGGACATTTGAGGAGCTGCAGTTTTTAGTTCTTCTGTCCTGGCTTTGTTTTCCTTCCAAGAGTTTGCTTGCAAATAGCAAATTACAAACATTTGGGAGTTTTTTGTATTCATCAGAGTACCTCTAATCCACACTTTTAATTCTTGTTTCACTGACTGGACTGGAAGTTTTGTTATCTCCTGACTCCATTTAGCTATTTTTTTTTATGTCATTCATTTTGTGGTTCGAAGCATTTCTTCAGCCTACATTGTTGAGGTTTGATTTATTCAGTGGCACAGTAACACTGATTCGTGAGATATTCATCAAAATAGATCATTCTAGTTCAAAAATGTAGCGTTCTAGATGTTTAAAACAAATCTATTCTTATGTGAGCATAATTCTATATATTTCATCTGTGTTTTCTTGCTTCTGTGTTTGGATGTATTCTGATATGCCGCTATTTTCCCACTCATTTTTACTCATGTCAATATATACGCGCATATTTTATACACATAGTTAGAGAGAACATTAGATCTCCCCTGTAGTGTAGCTTTTCAAATGTACACATTAGAGGATCTTGAGGATCAAGAAAGGCCAGTGTTTCCTCTGCATTCATTTAGGAGTGGTGGGCCGCCGTTCCTAAATCCTTGCCGCCGCTCCTTCAATTTTTTACATTTTTTTTTTATTGTCGCAAATGCACCACTGCTGCATGTCTCCACCTTCACAGCAGAGTCCTGCAACAAGTCGGGTACTCGCGAGTACTAAGGTAAACTACAGATAACTATCTTGCTCAGTCTCTACTCTTTGGGGGTTAATACAGCGTTAATAGCATGCCACCACGGCTCCCCGGAGAGCTTGCCCCCACTGCTGAAAAAAAAAAACCCTAGAGGAAACACTGAAAGGTCATACCTAACCTACATACAGTTGAAACCAGAAGCCCTGAACTCAATCCCTTAGAAAACTAGTGGGCAGAGCTGAAAAGGCATGTGGAGCAAGGTGGCCAACAAACCTGACTCAGTTACACCAGTTCTGTCGGGAGGAATGGGCTAAAATTCCAGCAAACTATTGTGAGAAGCTTGTGGAAGGAAACCCAAAGCATTTCACCAAAGTCATAAAGTTTAAAGGCAATGCTACTAACTGCTAAGGAAATGTATGTAAACTTCTGACTTTAAAGAAAGTAATACATTTTTTTCTCTCTGATTATTCTGGCGTTCAGTAAATAGAAATTATTTTTGTAATCCTAACTGACCTAAAACAGGAAAAGTTTGGTCTCATTTAAAGTCAGACAGTGAGAAAAAAGAAAGACTTTATGTCTTCTTATAGAGTGTATGTAAACTTCTAGTTTCAACTGTATATAGTCAGGAACTGCTGTATTAAGAGATTTAAAAACTAAAAGCAAAATCTTAAAAGGAATTCTAAACAGGAATTCTCAACAGGAGGTGAAAGTAGATGCTTTAAAACTTACCTACTTAAAGATTTATTGGGAAGGCCTGAAAACAGAACATTAGTCTGGTCTGGTAGACATAAAACCATAAATAAGTCTTGAGGTGTGTTTCTTAGTCTGATGGTAAAATGCATTTCTAGTGATGTTTCTCACCTGAGACCGAAAGGAAAGGTCCCAATGGAAGAAGAACCCAGGGTTCTCTGCTTTGTGCTTTATGCCCATATCTCAACTAGTTTGCTTTTTGTTGGGACCAATGATGCACACCTCAGTTCTGTTGTTGTTAAGCTGCAGAAAGTTTTGTGAAATCCACATTATGTTTTATTAAAGCAACATGCCAGTTTGTCAGCTGGGCGAGTTTCATCTGGTGAAAAGAAAATGTATAAGAGTATATCATCTGCATAAAGCTTTGATGATTATGCTGATATCATTGTGGATCTGTAAGAACAATATAACAATATTATGTAAAAACTACCAGATCCCAAATGTTCTGCCATTTGAGAAGTCTGTAGAAGTACGCATGTAGTCATTCAATACTTCCTTCACTGTTTGTTTTCAGCCAGAACTAAGGATTATGCTGATATCATTGTGGATCCGTAAGAACAATATATCAAAATCAAGTAACAACTACAAGATGCTGGAGCCTTTACGAAGCTGTACAAGCACACATGTAGTCGTATAGTGCTTCCTTCGCTGCATGTTTTCTGTCTCTGTGTGGCAGATAGACTTACTGTTGTGGATGTCACAGCTGTATCTGATCAAACGGATATAGAGAAATGTTGCTTTTAGGAAATGTTTGAGGACAAGTGGCTGGCTGCCAGTCTGAAAGCCAAGGAAAACACTGCCGGTGTTTGTAAACTGCAGTAAACACTCAATGTTGTCCCTGCCCTCAAGTATATTTGTATTTAATTTATAGTTTGCCGTCCAGATTAACCATCATGGTTCACAGCTAAGCCTCATTTCCGCTGTCAGTGCCGTTCGAACCGATATCAAATGTCACGGTTGCTCATTGACAAACTGCACTGCAGGACTCAGTCAGCTGTGTAAGTCTGTAGTTAACAAGCTCTGCTCGGCTGCAATTAAAACCAGATCTGCCTTAAACCGCAAAATCCCCTCCTCCTTTTTTAGAAAAGAATCTTTCCTCTCCTTAGTCTCTTCGACTTTAATGTGGCAAAAGGAACTGGATGCAGTGACATTTTTGACTTTCAAGCGCCAATCTTCACAAGTTTGTCGGTGAAGTCGACTCGCTGCTTGTGAGGAATGCCTCCGACATTAGTCAGCCGAGGAGCAGCTCCACTGCAGCCAGAGAGCGAAGTCAGGGAGGGAGCTTCAGAAATCTTTCCTCCCTTCGTTTAACATGTCTGCCCTACTTTCCATTGGCCTAACGTGTTGTGGTAACACTACAGATCCAGCCTCTCCCTCTCTGCTGCCCCTTTTTTTTCTCTTCACACCATACTATACTTGTGGAATGTAGAGGGCAGAACGGCAGCCTTTGGGTATTTTGTTAAACTGTAGACATCAGATATAGCGCCTTAGTTAAACTACAGTTAAAAAAAAAACTGCATGCGTTAGGATACTTTGGAGTATATTTATTTGGATCTAATCTCTTTTCCAAATTCATAGCTGCTGATTGTTTTCACATGAAGCTGATGATAAAAGATCTTCTTAAAAACCTGCCTTTTTATAATTTGTTTGCTCTTCCTTCTGCTGACCACTATTTGACTTCACTGTTTTGACTGTAACATCATCCTCTGTTTTCACCGTCTGTTTGATTATACAAGCCGCTGAGAAAACATATAAAGTATTTCAGTTCAGCACAGTTCACAACCAGAACTTTGGACAACACAAGCAAAGCTGCTTCATGTACGCATTTGGAGTAGAGCTGCAGCAACTAGTTGATTAATCCATCAGCTGTCAGCTCTCTTATATTGAAGTATAGATATTCTGGTTTCTTTCCTTCTCTATGACAGTGAATTAAATATATTTGGGCTGTGCACAAAACTAGACATTTGAGGACATTATCTTGTTCTTTTTGGTCATTTTGCACCATTTCCTGATATTTAATAGACCAAATAAATTATCAGTTAATCAAGAAAGTCATCTAGAAGAGTCAGGAATCACAGTTTGAGTCGTGGAAACACTCCAACTTAGTTACTCAACTTCATGGATAAGGTACAGTTGAAGGCATATGAGGACATCATCTTGGTCTTGATCGTCATTTTGCACCATTTTCTGACATGTAATAGATCAAACGACTAACGAAATAATCGCAAAAGTGATCTGCAGATTAATCGACGATGCGAATAATCATTCGTAGCTCTGATTTCGAGTCTGTGTTCTGTTTGCTCTGCAGAGATCTACACCATCCAGGGAAACTCTCACGGCCGGCCCTGCTACCTGCCCTTCCTCTACGACGGCCAGTGGTTCCACAACTGCACCAGCATCGGACGTGAGGACGGTCACCTCTGGTGCGCCACCACCTACGACTATGGAAAGGACGAGCGTTGGGGTTTCTGTCCTGTCAAGAGTAAGATATCACCTAACACAGGAGTCTATTTTCACATTTGCGGATCTGAAATGTTACCAGAAACTCATTGGGCTTTACCGCAATTTCCTCTCGCTCTGTTATTAATTCCTCCTGCTTTCTCCCCTGGTCTAACTGACTTCTTATCCTTTTCCCCGCCGTCAGGCAGCGGCTGTGAGACATTCTGGGATACCGACTCGCTGACAGACAGCTGTTACCAGTTTAACTTCCATGCTACGCTGTCGTGGAGCGAGGCTCGGATCAGTTGTCAGCAGCAGGGGGCAGACCTGCTAAGCATCACCAAGCTGCACGAGCAGACCTACATCAATGGTAAAGTCAACGTATACACATTTACAGTCGAGCAGAGATGTGCGCACACCCCTGTGTAGTATCAGTTGTATGTGTCAAATGATTCTAAATGGTGTCACTTACAGTAACAGCATTACTTGTAAGCTCTTGTGCCAAAAATAACAGTTTAGTTTTATTATATTAAAAATACAGGCCCCGCAATAGAAACTGAAGGCAACAGAAGTCAGTACACTGGGGATTTAATCTTCTATTTTTTTTAAAACGTCATATGTCCACCTTTATTTCTGATTACAGATGCAATCCTCTTCAGCGTGGAGGATAACAAATTTCTGCAGAGTTCTGTCATCCGTGCAGTTTTTTTTTCAGCTGTTTTGTGCTTGAGAGGTTGTGTTGTCTTTAAAATGCCCCAAAGGTTTTCTATTGGATTCAAGTCAGGTGTCATCAGGTTGTAGTTTTCCCTTTGAGTTGTTTAGAAACTCTTATCTGATTTTGGCAGTCTCATTTGGACGGTTCCCATGCTGGAATATTCCTCTTCTTCAAGTTTCTCCAGGCTGGGAGTCATCTTGTCAGACAGTATTTTGGTTTATCCACAGACACTCATCTAGAAATGTCATCTCCACAACAACTTTTGCACTCACGCAGCTTCATATCATCACACTCCCACCTCTGTGCTTCACTGTCAGGACTATGCATTCACTGTGGTAGTCCTGATCAGGTTCACATCGAACATGTTGGACTCCATCTGAGCCCAACTAATTTGGCCCACTTTCATTTGAGCATAGAATGACATTGGGTACTCCCAATATTCATCAGGCCTCTTTTCATGTCATTCAGCGAAGTGTCACCTTGTAGTTTAGTGCTTAAGGGCAAGCAAGAACTTTTTTGTTTGTTAGAGGTAGTTGTTTTGCCCTGTCCTTCACACTGTCTGAGCTTTCACAGACACTCCACTGATAAACCCTGTGCCAAGTCTAAAGCAGCTGCTCTCTATTTTTCAGAGCTATATTATTCTGTCTGTGGCATCATTTAAGGAGGACGACCACTGCAGCTCTGATTAGTGGCACTATGGCTCCTTCTATACCTTCTGATTACTGCTGCTGCTTTACTTCCACTCATTTTCGTGGGTTGCTGATCTTCCAGGATCCTTTTCCATCACTGTGAAGTTTCACAATCAGATTTTTCAGCTCCTCCTGCAGAGCCCATAGATAGAAAACCGTGAAAGTTCTGGACAATTTTAGAACAATGTTCTTGTAGTTTGGCTTATCAGAAATCAGTTATACTCAGTTTAGTTTCAGTTTTTTTACAGGTGTATTCACTTTTGTTGTTTTGAGTTTCTTCTCTGGAGCCTGTATTCTCAGTATAGTCTTTACAAAGAATCCGTTTTTGATGATATATGAGAGGAAATAATCGACTGTTAAACTTAGAAATAACGCATTTATTAAGAGGTGATGCAGTGTTGAATCATTTGACATTTAAGAGATATTGCACCGAGGTTTTCTCATTTCTGTTACATAATGCATGCTAATTCCTGAAGCTATTTCTTTGAAAGATGCATTAATGAATAAATAGTTTCGCTGACGTTTGAGACACAGAAGTGATGCAGCCTGAAACTATATCAGTGAATTATTTACAGCAGCTGTTATTGTTTATTAGCTCGTACATGATGTAATAAATCATTATTGTGGATAGACGCTTTGTTTCTATGTTGAAATTAGCAGCAAATAAACCTCAGAAATTTGCAACAAACACAAATTAATCTACACTGAGTGAACAGGTAATAAAAAAATGTCTTCTGATTTGCAACCTAGCGCACAAAAAGGACAACAAAAATCTCATAATTCAGATTCTGGGGTATTTTGGTTCCTCTCTCACTCGTAGTAAGTGCGGTTTCAACCTTTGCACTCCTCTCAGAATAAAACTTAACAAAATGTTTTTATTTCATTTCACGTACTTCCATCGAGCCTCTGCTTCTTCTGTGAGAAGCAAAAAAAAAGGAAAAAAAATCTCAAAATTCAATAACTGTTGAATTTGCAGTGCAGCAGAATCTTTGCAAACACGGAGTATTTGGTTTTCACATTTACTCTCCCAGCATCACTGATTGATTTTTGTGAAGGGGTTGCGACCCCGTTGCCAATACTGGGCCACGTTTCGGCTGTTGTTGCGTAACTATTCGGTAATCCGTCCTGCTAAGTGTGCTTCTAACTAAGTGAGTGTTTTGTCTTCTTTTGCAAGTTGTTCCTCTCGTCCTATTTTATGTGATTTACAGAACGAGCTTCCTCCATCTATCCGTCCGTATAATTTACGGGAGGTGTTGTCCTGCTGTTTTAGGTTTGCTGACTGGCTACAGTGCTGCTTTGTGGATCGGCCTCAATGACCTGGACATCAGCGGAGGCTGGCAGTGGGCCGACTCCTCGCCACTCAAATATCTCAACTGGGAGTCAGGTTAGCCTGTAAAAACAATCCAAGTTCCTCCGTCTGTCTTTTTAAAGCCTCAAGTATCTGTGATCTTTTTTTTTTTTAACTTTAAATGTTTATTCCCCTCAGAAGGCTGAGTGAGCATGCATATTCATTTTTAGCGCTTCTTACACCCGCTTGGCAGCCGTCCAGCGCAGCCGCAGTGTTTTACTGTTGACCCCTCTGAGTATTTGAGGATTGGCAGTAATTTTCTGAAGAGGTTTTTTCTTCTCTCTCTCTCTCCTTCTCCCTCTTACTCAACTCCAGACCAGCCGAGTCACGCCGACGAGGTGAACTGTGCAGTAATTAGAACTGAGTCATCGGGTCGCTGGCAGAACCGGGATTGTTCCGTCGCTTTGCCGTACGTCTGCAAGAAGAGGCCCAACGCCACCCTGGATCCCTTCACCACTGGTCAGCAGCGAAATGTATTCGCACCGAAAATCCAGAATTTGATGAGTTTTTTTTTTTTTTTTTTGAGTTTTTTTTTTTTTTTTTTAATGATCTTTTTGCTTCCACAGATTCTTGGGCAGATGATGAGAAATACGAGTGCGACGTGGGCTGGCAGGCGTTCCAGGCTGGATGCTACAAGCTCACTTCAGAGAAAACCGACTGGGATTCGGCTCAGAAAACCTGCCAGAAGATGGAGGCCAACCTGGTCAGCATCCACACGCTACCTGAGCTGGAGTTCATCATACGCAACGTGAAGAAAGGTGACTTTTTCCAAAAACAAACATTTAATATAGCAGTGCAGATGAATTGAAGCTCATCTTCGTTCGCTGTCTCTAAAATGTGCAACTTGTGTTTCAGCCTTGAACTGTCTGTAATGTGACTGCGTGCCTGTGCTGCAGGCTTCCTACTGCTAGCTGCACTGAAGGAACAGAGCGGACATTTTGACAGATTTATTCTAGTCGGGGGAAGTCAGGGATTTTGACATTTGCTGTGTGAATGTAAAAAGAAAACAACATCACACTCCACCAAGGACAAACAGAGAGATGAGGGCTGCGTGTAACTAATGTTGAAGCCTTGCCGGTTCAAAAAGAGTTTACTGAAATCTATTAGAGCACTCTTCTAAATCAGTTATTCTGATTCTGTTTTAAATACAGAGGAACAAACACAGTCTGCATCCTGAAAGAAAATTGATTTGATATATTTCCTGGTTTAAAGAAAGAAAAAATGAACAGAAAATAAACAGGAACTGTGTTTAGAGAAGAGCTGCAAGGTGGAGCTGTGGTTTGTGTCATTGCCTCGCAGCTAGAAGGTCGCCAGTTCGCGTGTCGGTGAGGACACCCGGGATCTTTCTGTGTGGAGTTTGCATGTTCTCCCTGTGCAGCGTGGGTTCTCTTCGGGTTCTAAATTGTCTGTGATAGACTGGTGACCTGTCCAGGGTGTCTTGACCCTAGTGAGGATTAAGCGGTGTATAGATAATGGATGGATGGATGTATTTAGAGATGCTCCCAATCTTCACATCCAGCTCAAACATATTGTAACCAGGCAGTAGCTGGTTACAGCATATGAAGTCAGGAATCACAGTTTTAGGTTTTAGTCATGGAAACACTCTAACTTCATTACTGGACTTCAGGGGCTTTAGATCCTGGTTCTTTCTTTTCCTTTTTACCTCGTTTCCAGTGCTGTAATGTAACCCAAGTACAGTGCTACAGAAATGTGTGCTTTACTTGAGGTTTTGGATGTCGTGCAACTTTATACGTCTGCCGCACTACATAGCAGAGACAAATATTGTACTTTCTACCAGATTTTGTTCCCCATACATTCTCTGGCCAGTTATTTTAATGTATCTTGAATTTATTTTGAATTGAATCTGCAGAAGTCAAATGGAACAAATCCAGCTCAAGTATTAATCTAAACACATCATATGTGGTAGTAAAACACGGATAGGGAACATGGTACTGATAGTGGCGACTTTTACTTAAGTAAGGTTATAAATACTAGACCTTTACTTGTAGTGAAGTATTTTATAAGGAGCAACAATAAATCATTTTCTCAGACAAAAAGATAAATAAAAAAAATAAAATCAGTTTGCTTATTTGGTATTTGGGACCCAAAAACTAAGTTCTCTAAAAATATTTTGGCTGAATTTTGAGAGGTTTGTATGGTTTCATATCTGGGGATTTTGTAAATTTTTTTATTGTAACCCTTAAAAAAGTGGCTTAACCAGGGAAGCCATATTGAAGGTTCAATAACTCCAGAAATGTAACTCCCACGGCCATGACATGTGGTGAGGACACAGACAGAATAGCTTCCAGCAGATCACAATGATTGAACAGCTCCAGCAGAGGTCACATGTGTAATTACTGGGCCTTGAAAAGGGGAAAAAAATGCAATGTTTTTAAACAAGGGTGGACTACAATAGGTTTCTGCAAGTGTATATACAGCTGAAACCACAAGTTTACATACAGTGTATAAAAAGACACATAACCTTTTTTCCTCACTGTCTGACATTAAATCAGGCTAAACTTTTCCTGTTTTAGGTCAATTACAATTGCCAGAATCATTTATATTTGCTAAATGCTCTGTAAACTTCTGACTTTGATGAAAGTAATAAAAAATTCTCTCTCTCAACTTTTGAGGCCTCTGACATCAGTAGAATTTAATGTGTGGTAAATTTGGCGAGACAAGGTTTCAGTTTGTTGCTGTTTTGACAAAATGGTGACGTGAATTTCATTCACAGAACGACAACGGCTGTTGTGCAAAGTTACAAGTTGCTCTCATGTATTCAAAATCCCCAAATTCTTCATTTTTGGTCCCACATGATACAAGGTGTGTCAGAAAAGTTTCAGGACTGGTGTTACATAAGATATATTTCAAATCCAAACTACAAACTACAAGTTTTCCCCTTTGAAGTAATCCCCCTGGAGTCTAACACATTTTTCCAGCCTTCTCTGCCACGCCGCCATGCAGTTCCGTCGTCACAGCCATCTTGATGTCATCCACATCTTCAAAACGGGTCCCCTTGATGAACCCCTTGAGCTTGGGGAAGAGGACAAAATCCCACAGAGCCAGGTGGGGTTGTCATGGTGAAGCAGCCACGACTTGTCCTGCCACAACTCTCGCCTCTTCTCGCACACTGAACGAAGCAAACGCCACAGGATCTCTTTGTAGACATGCTGGTTGATCGTCTGAAGGGGAAAACTGGTGGTTTGTAGTTTGGGTTTGAAATACATCTTTTGTGACACCAGTCCCTGAACTTTTCTGACACATCTTGTAGGTAAACTCTGAACAAAATCTAACACATTGCATCAACACCCCCACCTAAAATGACACCTAGTGACCCTGAAGTCTGCTTCTTCTTCCAGACATCGACCAGGTCTGGATCGGCCTCCACGACACCGACATGCAGATGGACTTCCAGTGGACCGACCACACGCCCGTCATCTTCACCTACTGGCACCCCTTTGAACCCAACAACTTCCGCAACACCCAGGAGGACTGTGTCTCCATCTGGGGAGCCGTGAGTGACCTTCATTCACCCTCACATGACTCCACCGTCAGCAGGTCCTTGTATATATTTACCAGCTGTGCTCCGTCTTTCTGTTTGTGCGTTGCCTTCGTGTGCAGGACGGCCGCTGGGATGACAGCCCCTGTAATCTGACTCTGCCCTCCATCTGCAAGAAACCAGGAACAAAGAGCGACGGGAAGCCACAGCACCAGGACTGCAAAAAAGTACTACTTCTTTTGCATTCAGTTATTGAGTTTTTGTTGTCAACGCTACACCAGATAAAGTCTGTTCAGCTCCTCTGCAGCCACCCATTCCAGCTGCTGAAAGTCTGTGGTGTTGCCGGGAGCATAATTATTATTCTCAACATTTCAGCTGTTGCTTCACCTTCGACCTTTTCTCCCAGAGCTACCGTCCATCTCTCGCCCTTCCACCAGTCCACCACTCCGCCCCCAGACTCTAACTGTAATATAAATCACTCCATTCTAACTGGGAAACTCAACCAGACGGAGGCAGCCGGCAGCGAATGCACTCCGCTCCCGGTTTAACGTGGAGTTTTACGAGGCCAAGAAAATCAAAATACACGATAGTTTTAAAGGCATTCAAACGGGGTCGGGTTTCATTCAGCTTGTGCACACAACAGAAATACAGAACATGATCGCTGCTCGTACCCACAAGACGCATCTGCATCTGTCTCTGATTATACAGCTCATAATTCTCTCCACGCTGTAAAAAGTGAACATCTATTAACTGGGCTTTTTTTTTTTTTTTTTTTAAACAATTTACTGTCACAGATTTGGCCTATTTTGGTAAATTACAGATAATAACAAAAGTAAACTAAAGTAGTAAATTGCACATTACTACAAAAATGTTAATAATGTCCACATCAGAAATCTGTATTTTCACAAACAGTTTTTTTTTTCTTCTTCTTTTACGCTTGACTATAAAATGACTGTTAATATTAATTTCTGTATTTAAATCAGATTTTTTTTTAATTTTTTGTTTTTAATTTCGCCGATATTTGTCTTTATTTGAAAGTACAATTAACTACATTAGGGATTGGAAAACGCTAAACCATTATATCACAGGTTTCAATCGTTTTCTTAAACCACAAGTAATACCAAATAAAATCACAGAAGAAAATGACTAATTTACATGTTGACATAAAAAAAAACAGAAACAGGCCTAAGCTGTAATATTGTCCACATTAATTATTTCTATTAAAAAAAAACAAAAAAAATTGCTTTTTAAAAATGTGAAATACATATTTTGCTACTGTCTTTAAAACAGCAATACATATTATTTACACTTTTTTATTTATTTATTTTTTTTACAGATATTTGCTGTTATTTAAAATAAAAAAACAAACAAACAATATATTAAGGGCTGAAAAATGATTAATTGGTTGTTTTGCAATTTTTTTTACAGCTTTGTTAAATTACAAATATTATCAAGTGATGTTGCCCAAAAAATTGTAATTTACACGTTGACAATAAAAAAAACAAAAAAAAAAACCCCATAACAAATAGGCCAAAACTGTAAACAACATTCATATCAAAAATCAGTTTTTATAAATGGTAATATGTTCTTTTACAATATTTGACTGTAGAATTAGACTATGTTTACTGTGTATAAATCTGCATAAATATTAATTAATATATCTGTCTTTATTTTCAAAAAATATATGTATATTGAGGAAAAATATTTTACTATATTAGAATTGTTATTTATTTACTGTTATTGTGCAGATTTCCATAGTTTTGTTAAAGTACAAATAATATCTGGTAAAATCACAGAAAAAAATGTACAAGTTGACTCTAAACAAAACTGTCAAAAACCACAAAACAACTGCATACTTTTAAAATGTGTGACCATAAAATGACACTATTTTACTGTATTTAAATCAGATGAAAATATCTTTATTTTACAGAATTTCCTGTTTTAAATTTTCATTGTTTTAAAAGTTTTTTTTAAAAAGTTTTTAGATATTTTTTCTGGCCCCCTTGCTGTCCGATTTTCTCTTTTTTTTTTTTTTTGCTTTTCTTTTTACAGATTTCTTTTATTTTTTGCAGTTCAAAACGCCTCCCATATCTGACCACTGCTGAAAACGTTCACTGTCTGCAGTAACTTCAGTGGGTTTTTTGAGTGATGTTTGACGAAGATATTGAGAAAAGAAATCTCAGTGTGTGTCTGTGCCCTTCAGCGGCGTGTTCAGCTAGTTTTGTTCCAAGGCCTGATTTATGGTGTAAATGATCTGAAGTCGAGGGTCGTGCTGCTGCTCAGCTGTTACATCCAACAAAGATCTCTGTGTGGACGGACCATTTGTCTGCTGTAATGAATCTTTGGCCGTCTCCCCGGGGAGCGAGGCATCATGGGTGGTAATGTGGCGGGGGTCGTTCGGCGTGGCGTTTGTCTCGAGCAGATGAGTTCACTTCAACATGTGAAACAACGTCGAACAAAGAGCCTCAACACCGCTCCATCCTTCAGCACATTTACCCCGTCGAGGGCCGCCTCATCTTTTAAAAATCCTAATGGAGACGCTACTGCTGTCGGTTTATTTAATCACCGAAGCAGCGATGTTGATGTTTATTTTTTTTTGGTTTTCTTTCTTCACTCGTCAGTTACTTCATGTGTAAATAATCAGAGAGATAATAAAACACAGATTTAATGTTGGAGGCCGCTGCTTGGGGCCCCTCAGCCACCACAGGGGCCCGAAAATAATTGAAAATCTGAACTCTCTGAACTTTTTTGGGCATTTTTTAAATTATGAATTTAATTAATCAAAGCTACAGCTCCTGTGTTTGCCCAGTAGCCTCCCGGATGTCCTCCCAGTTTGGAATCATAGCAAACGACCAAAGCAAAATCAGGAAGTGTGTCTTCAAGCACCTTTAACCCTGTGCAGGGCTTTCATGTTGCCATACGTAGAAGGTCTTTTGTGGTCCATTGGACCCCAAGAAGAATACGTGTAAAATATTTGTTGGTATTCATTATAGACTTGTATACTATGTTAAATTAATTTTTTATGTATATTTTATATATAGAGTGCCGAGCAGCTCTATATGCCTACCAAATTGCGTAGCTGTAGGTCAAAGGTGCTTCCGATAGGACTTCATTGAAATTTTCAAGGTGGCGCTGTGGAGCCATTTTGGCAGTGACATGTCCAAGTCCATTAAAATATCAAATTTTTCGCCAGTCCTGGTGTGGAAATTTTCAAGGTGGCGCTGTGGAGCCATTTTGGCAGTGACATGTCCAAGTCCATTAAAATATCAAATTTTTCGCCAGTCCTAATGTGCGTGGCGATTTTGGTGAGTTTTCGAGCATACGTGGGCCCTCAAAATCGCGTTTCAAAAGTCGATAAAAGAATAATAAATAAAAATAAATAATAATAAAAAGTCATACTATAGCATGTCGTTTTTGTCAAAAAAAGGTCACGTTTCAGAATGTCCTGAAAACGCATCAGGATGTAGTATATAGTGGGAAAAGTGTCCTGAATGTGTTTAAAGAC